ATAATTGTTCTTTCCTTTTTATGATGTACCTTTGGTAGATTATATGCATCATGAAGTCAGGGTCCATTTTTTACATCGGCAAAAACTTAAAATTTGGTAATAAATTATGTTGATAAACATATGTGGAAGCAGCTATTTGACCCATTGAAATGACTTTAAATTGTCCTCTTTTAAGGGGATGTCCACTAATATTTTAAATGTATATCCATACTTTTGACTCTGTAATACATTGATGGAAATCCATGGTTCAGGCATTCTTAAATGCATTCATTCTTACTGAACAAAAATTATATTCAAAGATGCATACTCAAATATTTATAATAGCAAACCAAAATATTAGAGAAAAACTCCTAAGCGTTTCCCAAAAGGAACTATTCAAGTCAGTCATAGTACATTCATGCAATGGAATGCTCTGCAATTATTGGGAAAAAAGAAATATCTAGGACACCCAAATGTTCAGATATAGAGTGTATTGTTAAATGGAAGAAATAAAAGCATAGGACGGCGTTTTTAGTATGTTAATGTTGGTGAAACACCATTGGAATATGGTCGTCATAAATGTTCAAATATGAAAGGCTATGTCAGGAAAAAACTCCAGAAATATGTTCCCTCTCTGCCTCTGGGGACTTAGGAAAATAATGAACTCCAGTTAGCTGCCCTGTTTCATCATTGCATCCATGTCACATGCCAACAACCTGCTTACTTTAATCTTTGGTTTTTGATGGAGAGGAATTATGGGCCCGTTGGAAAGGGGTAAAGGGAGATTTACCATCCACTGTATTCCCATTGTTCTGCATGAAATTTTTACCATTGACAAGTCTTACAATCAGGAAAATGCAATAATGTTATTCATTTGATTGAAGGGCATAGCCATAGCCTTATTGGCAGCCAGTCTGAGTAAACAACATTTTGGATACACATCTTTAAAACATTTTTCAGCTACTACTTGACCGAGTCACATAGACATGCTATAATGTGAGCTACGATAGTAGTATTTGAAGATCTTCCAGGCTGTATGTAGGAAAATGAGGACTCGCCAACTTAGAAAATGTAATAAAATAGTAGGAAGGACATTAACTTGGAAATTCCATCCAATTTCCTGATATCACTTAGCAAATAGGTTATAAAAAATATCGTTTATTGAGCATCTTCTCTGTTCTGCGCTCTGTGCTAACCGTTTCATATGCATTTCCTTTCATGTTTCCCGTGAGCCCATGCAGCATATATTGCTGCCCTCGCTTCCCATGTCAGGACCCTGAGGCTCAGAGAGCTCATTTCACCTTCAAGAGGCGCCTCTGATCAGAGCACAGGCCTGGCTGGCTTTGAAGCCCCAGCCCTTTCCTCTGTCAAGTTAGTTTCATCAAGAGTCAATTTCGCCACCTACACCAAAGCTTTGTGTACATTTTTTATGATTTTTAACAAATGTAAATTCACTGTGTGCTGTTTATGCAGTATCACGATTGTAAATTGACTTGGTGAGTAAGAATTTAAAAAAATTTGTACAAGTATGAGACTGTATAAGGAATTTTGGTACGATATGTGTTGTGTTTGTCTAATTGTTGGCATCTAAGTTGCTGGCGTATCTTTTTGTTTACAGATATCGGATCCACCCTCGCAAGAATGGTGCTCAGGCATCAGAGGGAGAGTGACGTGGGGGAGGGGGCAGTCTCAGGCAGCGACGGGAACCTGTCCGAAGTCCTTGATAAACTTGATGAATGGACCTTCATTCCTGAGTCTTACGTGGACAGTGTGTTTGGTCAAAGTGATGACCTGGACAGTGAAGGTATTTATTATCAAGAAAATAGTTCCCTTTGTGTTTCAAAATACTTTAAAATACATAGGCATTGGATGATAGAAATTGAGACAAAAGCCTGATTTAATGTATTTGGAAGAACTTAAGGAAAAATGTATTCATTATTGGGAATAATTAATGCTTACTGTAACTCCGGGGGAAAAATCCTGGGGTAAAATACCTCTGAAACTGAAATCAGTCAAAGGGAGAAATAAAGTGGGGGAAACCCGTTTATTTCTTACAAGCAGTCGTCCACTTCTGCTCTCCCCTGTCTCTGTGCCTGTAGAAGAAGAGGCCCCACCCAGCCTCTCAGGTCCACACATGCCCTGCTTGCCCTTGTAATTAATTATCTATCGATATGGAGATGGACTGCTTCTCTCCACCCCTTGGAAACACCTATTGATATGGAGATGCACTAAGGCCAGGGGAGAGATTCTGGAAATAATTGCAATTTTACCCACACTTACTAACTCCAGTTAAGGCAATGACTGTCAAGAATGTCTGTGCTGGAGCCTTATAATACTGCCCGTCACCAGTGACTGGTGACCACTGCAGTGAACACTGCCTCATACTGGCCCCGTCACTGACTAGATCCTTCTGTGGCTTGTGTAAGCAGCTCACCCTTGTTAGAGGTGCTGTTGGGTTATCTATAGGAATCAGAGAAAATGTACGTGAAGTGGAAGAGTGCATGGCAAATAGGGCTCAAATTATTTTACCTTTATCTGAATTAAAAATAATATCAAATTTTAATAGCTCACTTGAGAGAACTTAAAATTGACAGGGCAATATACATAATATCAGCAATTAGGGCTGATAAATTAAACAAAATGCAGTTTGGTAAGAATGGGGTCACATGCTTTTTCATTAATATAGTATGACTGAAAACTTTGGGTGATAGAATAGAGGAATTTGAGATGGCAAAAATACAGTTTATTCCAAAATCTCATGTCTCAAGTCCAAGTATTTTTTAAAACCAACTTTATTGAGAATATAATCAATATAAAATGCACCCATTTGTTTATTTTCATGGGTTTTGAAAAACTTGCACATCCATCTAATCATCACCACGGTCCAGTTATGCAACGTTTCTATCATCCAGGAAAATTCCTTTTATGCCTCTTCACAAAAACTATCCACCCCCCCAGGACCTTGGCAACCACTAATCTGCTTTCTGTCACTGTAGATTAAATGAGTATTTTCTTCAGTTCCATGTTAATAGAGTCACAAGACATGCCCTCTTTTGTGTCTGGCTGTGTTCCAGAGCAGGTGCCCCATGTCATACTCCCACCAGCAATGTGCAGCAATTCTAGTAGCTCTACATCCTTGTCACACTGTAACACTTGGTATTGTCCGCCCATTTACTTCTAGCCATTCTAGTTCCAGTAGGTCCTCGCTCATTTGGATTTGATTTTCATTTCCCTGATATTTCCCAATTGATATTGAGAATCTTTTCATGTTCTTGGCCATTCATATATTTTCTTTGTCTAGTGTCTGTTCAAATCTTCTACTTGCTTTCAGTTGGGTTATTGTCATATTATTGTTTTAAAGGAGTTCTTTCTCTATTCTAGGAGAGGTCCTTTGACAGCTATATGAACTGCAAATATTTTCTCCAGCCATAGCTTGTCTTCATTTTATGAATATCATTTTTCAGAGTGCACCACTGTATGGTCTATCCTGTTGAATGTTCCATGAGCAAATTAAAAGAATGGTTTTTCAGATGTTCTTGGATCAAGTCAATGAGGTTAAACCCTTGGATAGTGCTTTTCAGGTCTTCTGTACCTTTACTGATTTTTCTTTCTCCTTGTATTTGAGAAAAAATGTTAAAATTGTAATTGTGGATTTGTTAATTCTCCTTTCAATTCTATCAGTTTATGCTTTGTGTATTTCGAAGCTCTATTATTGGGTACACAAACATTAAAAATTGTAACTTTTGTTTTAAATGACTTAAGCTCTTTATGTTGACCAAGTTTGCATTCAGTATCATTTCCTTCCTCCTGAGGAGCTCCCTTTTACATTTCTTGTATAGCAGTTCTGTGAGTGACCCTGTACAGATTATTGGGGGTCTTTTTCTATGCCTCTGCTTCAGAACTCCCAGCTAAGTTGGTGTCCAAGAATGTTGTCTCCATCTCCTCATCCGAGGAAAGCTGTAGGGCTTTGTTTAAATTCCTTCTCCTTGTTCCAGTCGCCCTTAAATTGCCCCCAGGCAGAAAGCCAGGGTGCTCATAGGCTCACGTGGTTTGTTTCTCTTCTTCTAGGGACTACATAGTTCTGCGCTGTCTGTTGCCCAATGTCTGAACATAGTTTAAAATATTTCATCCTGTTATTTGTGGAGGGAGGTTAAGCTTGGTGCTTATTACTCCATCGTGGTTAAACGAATTCTCTTTAAGTATTTTTAAATAAAGGAAAACAGAAAAGCTAACATAAAAATAATTATAAAATGCATATGTTGCTTTAATAAATAATATGCTAATAGAACTTTTTGCAAATGTGAAGTAGAATAATTATGACAATGTAATAATTATATGTAAGTGTAATTAAATAATGAAGTCTATTTTATTAAAATGCTTAGGCATAAAATCATTTACATTATAGGATAAATTAAATTTTAATAATGAACCAAGTAGGAATGCTTTATCCATTTTAAGATTTATACAGAATATTATAAAGTTGATTTTTGGATATGTAGGTTTTGTAATTTGTTTTGACCCTTAAAGTTAATTCCTTATGCTTCTAAAATAAAGCATGGTAGAATTTGAAATCTCATAATTTTCAGAAATGCCTCTATATTCTTTATCCCTAAATAATGTGATTTTCTTGAAAATTCATAGTTTTAAAAGTAGTTCTCCTCTTTCTGAAATCAATATTGCCAGTTAAACTCACTGTGTTTATTTTAATGTCTTCCATAAATGAAACCATAAATATGAAATTTAAGTAGAGATGTACTCAGGATTGCTGAATGTTAAATAATTTAAAGCATGATTCCAATATTTAAAACAATATTTGAAAATTTTCTAAGAAAAATCCAAAGAAACAAAAAAACACATGAATCAGATTTGTGTATAAACTCTGCTTTCTGTACCTGGCATGTGTATTTTTTTTTTAACTTGTCCCTTTTCTGCTCTATTATGAGCTCATAAAAGGCATGGATTATTTTCCCTGCTTATCTTTACCAGCACTTATTCAGTGTTTTGGCTATGACAGATATTCAATGAATGTTAGTGGATGAAGAAAAATGAAGCTCAAATTTGAAAATGAAAAGCCAACATATTTTATCATTTCTCTTTCAAAGATGTTAGACAGGAGTTGGGCAATTTCTATTAATGAAAATGTGTTTCATCTTCTGTGATTGAACTGTGATAGCAGCATCTTATGATGGAGACAACATTTCTTACCTGCGTTTATTTTGTCATTGAAAAATAGGAAGCGAAGGCTCATTTCTTGTGAAAAAGAAGTCAAATTCAATTAATGTAGGAGAATTTTACCGAGATGCTGCTTTGCAGCGCTGCTCGCCAAATTTGCAAAGGCATTCCAATTCACTGGTGAGTTACACTGTGATTCTGTTGTGTTTTGTTACTGACATTCTCTCAGTAACTTGATCTTGACATTCTCTCAATGACATAGTTTCATGTGCCAAAGTTAGGTGCTATTGCTATAGAGATTCCCTGATGTATGAAAACTTCATATGTAGAATGAATATATATATATATGTGTGTGTGTGTGTGTGTATTTATATTTTATATACATATGATACTTACATGTATATAAAATTCAAAATTTTCAACTGTAGGCTTTTGAGCATGCTTGGGCATATAGGAGCTAAGTTCACTTCCAAATGGTTTTGACCTGTTTTCTTTTCAGAGCTCCATGTCTGTGTGGCCTGGTTCCCTGGATACACGAGCCAGGGACCTTCTAGTGACTCCTAAGGAAACCAGATAGGAACATGTTCTCTTCACTCCAAACAATGATGGTTATTTTATTGTAAATGTCTGTTCATTTAATAGGGACCCATTTTTGATCATGAAGATTTACTGAAGCGAAAAAGAAAAATACTGTCTTCAGATGATTCACTCAGTGAGTATTTGAAGTAATTAATAAATAGATATTGTGAGCAGAACACAGTACTTTGTTAACTTTCCTCTGTTCACATTTTCTTGGTGCCAATTTCATCATATATAAAGCCTTCAGATTATATTTACCTCATGATTTTGCAAACTGTAGAAAACTAAAATGCAAATACGGATTTCAAATTTACCTTTTATGATGTTATATAGGACACTTTTATCCTTTGTACTATTTATTTTTCCTGAAATGCATTACTTAATACCCTCACCAATGTCACTCTTCATCCCCATTTCCAGGTCTGTTGTTCTTTCACACTGCTTATACCACCTGATTAAATATTTATTATTTAGTCTCTCTCTTTGCCCCTGGAATGTAAGCTTCATATTGTCCGCTGAATCTCCAGTGCCTTGATGGGGGACTGACACTAGTAAGTGATTAAACATCTATCAAGTGAATTTAAATTACTTGCTTATATTTCCATTGTTTGTTTTTGATAAAAGGGTCATCAAAACTTCAACCCCACATGAGGCATTCAGACAGCATTTCTTCCCTGGCTTCTGAGAGAGAATATATTACATCATTAGACCTTTCAGCAAATGAGCTAAGAGATGTTGATGCCCTAAGTCAGAAATGCTGTATAAGTGGTCATTTGGAGCATCTTGAAAAGCTGGAGCTTCACCAGAACGCACTCACGGCCTTTCCGCAGCGACTATGTGAAGTAAATTTCATTTAGCCTTATTACTCGCAGGATACTTGAAGAGCTTTTGTATTTCTGTCTAAATTGGCATGCTTAAATCTTTAAAAAAAAAAAAAGGTTCTATTTTTGTGTCATTGGACAATAGTTCTTCCACTCTTCTTGTTTTCACACAAGTTCTTAGCGTGTTGGTTGGTCAGAAACATCCTTACTGACAGGCACTGGCAATGGAGAGCCGATTAAAGAGGAATTCTGGGTTCTGTCCTGGTGATGCACAGGACGTGTTAGAGTCTATCAAGGCTACATGTTGATTTGATAAAGGATCATACCTGTTTTAAAAAAAAACAGTTTTGCTGAAAATGCATTTTCCCTTTTTCTAACCTATAAAATTTACAGCACTTTTGAGACTTTTAAAGGCAACATTGCATGATTTTTTAAAAGAATATTGATGTGGTGTCTTTCCCTTAATGTTTATATATCTGGAGACAGAAAAGAAAGAAAGATGACCTCCCTCCCATCTCAGTGTCTAAAATGTGTTCTTTCTCTCTTCTCCTCTGCTGTGCCTGCACAAATCCTACAAGCAAGAGACCCAGTTTAAATGTCACTTTCTTGCCCTCTGCTTTCCTCTGCTCCCCTCTTCCCTACAAGCTTGGTTGGCTACCCACCTGGCTGGCACTTCTCTGGGGCCCAGGTTATCCCCCAGTGCTCATTCCCTTATGCCTGGTGGTCTAAGGTGGGTTTCCTGACCAGGTCTGGAGCTCCTTGAGAACAGGAACCGTTTCAGGCTTGTTCATTTCCATCCCTGCTGCCTACAGAAGTCTGACATACAGTAGAAGCTCAGTAGGTGACAACTGAATTCATTTGTGAAGGAATTAATAACTGACACTTAGTAGACCTTCAGTAAATGTTTGTTAAAGAGCAAGTACATGAAAACAAGAGACTTAGACCAGCTCAGAACCTTCTCTTTAGGAAATTTCAAATCAACATCACTGTATGGCACTTTTTTGTTACTGATTGTACCAATGTCTATTTACAAGAAAATTTCCTGATTAAAATTTGAGAGTAAATAAAAATCTTTCCTTCTGAATAAAATGGTTGTTTCTGAAACAGTGGCAGACATTTTGAAACTGCTTCTGGGTCAAGATCCATTAAGAAGCCTTTCTAATCAGCTTGAACTCTTTAGAATGTCTTGTGAGGATAAATGTATTGATATAGAAAGAAGAACATAGAGAAGAGATTAAGTTTGGTATTTTACTCCTTGGACAGTCATCCATACCAAATTTTAAAAATTGACATAATATGTAAATGAAGGTTTGCTATTATTCTAAAAAAATTAGAAATTACCTAAAAACAGAAAACAGAAATTTGAAACAAAAATTCCATAAAGAGAAAGGACGTTCTAAAATGAAACATGTATTAAACACAATGACTACTTTTATGGTTAAATCTTACTTATGTTAAAGTACGTAACAATTTCTGAAAGCTAGTGTTTAAAAAAATGAAGTATTCCCAGGATCGTGTTTTACCGCTTATTTATTAAATCATTTGTTCAAGCACATGTATTAAAAGCGGAATTAAACTCTTAGGCCTTTTCTGTGTATCTGCCTTTGACAGTCTGTTATGTTTTTCCTTTCTTTACCGATTTTCTAGCCAAGATGGTTGGATCAGTCTGTCTATTAAAGTTTTCTTGTGAATTGTGTTTTCAGTTTTTTGGAAAATTCTTAATGGTTCTGGTTATCAGAGATGTGCTAAGGCAGAAATACTAGCTAATCTTATGTTTCTCAGATGGTTCATTTTAGCATTTAAACATGTTGTCTTCCCAGATTCTGAAGTGTTTGACACATTTGGACCTGCACAGTAATAAATTTACATCATTTCCGCCTTACTTGCTGAAAATGAATTGTATTGCCAACCTTGATGTTTCTCGAAATGACATTGGCCCCTCGGTAGTTTTGGATCCTGGGGTGAAGTGCTTGACCTTGAAGCAGTTTAACCTGTCCTATAATCAGCTGTCATCTTTCCCCGAGAACCTGGGCGATGCGGCAGAGACGCTGGAACAGCTGACTTTGGAAGGGTAAGGAAGGAGCAGCTCATTAAAAAGAAAAGGGTTGCCTTACATTTGAAGTTTATAAGATTGATAAAATATGCTAACATTATTTCTATAATAATGAGTTTTAAATGGTAAAACAATAAAAGATTGAGGCAATTAATAATAGAGCTTCTATCAATTGACTTCAATTTTTTACAACGGATTTTAAAATTAATACATCTGCTCTGATTCCATTCTTTGAAGGCAAATTGTTTTGATTTTTTTCTTGAAAGCACATGAATTTATGCAATTCAAGCCTCATGTTGTCTCTTATGCCTAGAAATAAAATACCAGGAATTTGTTCCCCCTTGAGCCTGAAGGAGCTGAAGATTTTAAATCTTAGTAAAAACCACATTTCTTCCCTATCAGAGGACTTTCTTGAGGCATGTCCTAAACTGGAGAGTTTCAGCGCCAGAATGAATTTCCTTGGTAAGTGTTCTGTATGAGATTCCTCCTGCACCGTTTTGATTATTACAGGATGAGTCATATATGGACATTTTAGGTGGAGACTTAAAGGTGGTATTTCAATTTAAATATTATGGAGGAGTTTCAGATATAAAGTTAGCAGGTTGGTGATAAAAAGAAATGAGCAATGAAGCAATGAAGACATGGAGGAAACTTAAATGCATATTGTTCAGGGAAAGAAGCCAGTCCCTAGGGCTGCATGCTGTGTAATTCCCAACATAAGACATTTTGGAAAAGGGAAAACCACGGGAACAGTAAGACGATCAGTGGGAACAGTAAGACGATCAGTGGTTGCAGGAGTTTGGAGGGAGGAGGAGAGAGATGAGCAGGTGGGGAACGGGGTTTTTAGCGCAGTGCAACTCTTCTATGTCATTCTATAACGTGGATTCCTGTTGTTAGACATTGGTCGAAACCCATCAAATGAACACTCTAGAGAGTGCACTCTACTGTAAGCTGTGGCTTTTAGTTAGTTAATAATAATGTATCACTACTGGCTTATTGATTAGAACAAATAAACCAAACAATGCAAGTGGTTAATAATAAGGAAAAAGTGTGTGTGTGTGTGTGTGTGTGTGTGTGTAGGCAGTGTTGAGGAGAAAATAGGTGTATGGGAATTCTGTACTTGCTGCTCAGTCTTTCTCTGAACCTTAAGCTACTCTAAAAACAATAGTACATTTTCTAAACATATTCAAGATCAAAAAAATTTTAGTGGTTCAGTGTTTTTGGATTAAAATCTTTTAGCAGGTTGTTATTGTCATAGGCTGAAATGATAGTTCTTGAACTACAAACAGTCATTATATTGTGGTTCCTTTTAGTCTATTAAACTAAAAATCCATAGGATAGCCTGAGCTGGTTGAAACAGGAATGTTGAGTTTCCTACTGAAGTGGCTTCAGCAATTTTTTGGATTATAAGTACTATTGCTGTTTTGTTAGAAATAAAATTAAGTATTTAATAGTTTTCAAATCGGTGAGGTGAATGTGTATTTTCTGAGCTCTCGCTCTGTGCAGGATATCACAGTAATAAGCAATATGGTCGGCACTTTTATTGAAAGTCATGGAATACCCTGGGCTCTCTTGGCGTGTGAGATAACAGGGAATATGCTCATATGGAGCCTATTTGAATGTTCTAATATTAAGGGACAAAACACTTTTAAGGAAATAAACAAACTCCCCATATTTTATCTTCCTTAGGAGGGTAAAAGTAGGCCATGTGTACCCAGCCACCCATGTGACTGTTGGTAAAATGATTTTTAATACTGTTTAATAGAATACAGTTTGACAACTTAGTTTAAAATATTTTACTTTGTCAGAACCTTCAGACACTAACAATGATAAAAGCCGTGTTAGTCCTCATGGTATCTCACTCCCTTCTCCCTTCCTCTCACCTTCCTGAATACTGACCGTGTTCTTACCATAAGCCTGAAACTGGGGATAGGGTGGTTCACCCACTAGTGGGCCCAGCAAACCCAGTCTCTGTCCTTGAGGAGTGTGGAGCTAGGTTCAGAAGACAGGCATTAAATAATAATGGCACAAATAAATGTAATTCGTATTGTGCAAAGTGCTGTGAGGAGAAGGCTCAGGATGCTGCAGGGATACCTCATGGGGATCTGGTCCAGACTGCAGAGGGACAGAAGTGTCCCTGTGTCCGTAACATGTATGTTAGGCCTGGAAAGAAGGGCATACAAAAATCCCATAGGACAGGTCTGATCTCTGACTGAGAGAGGAAACGGAAGCCCTGAGAGTCTAGTGTGACATGTTCAGGGGCACTGAATTAAGTAACTAGTTGTTGTAAAAGCTTGAGGACACCTAAGGTTGCCAATTTGTTTGCTTTGCACTGCACAACTTTAGTAGTTGTAGCAGTGGTCTTGCATTTGGGAAGACATCCTATGGAGGTGTTACGTGAGTGGGACCACTAACCTTTAAGACTAATCCCACATGAAACGAAATTTCGGTTCTTCGATTTTGTAGGAATCTTTTCTATACAGCATCTAAACCTCAAGACTCTGAATTCTTCAGTGGAGAATCATTTCTACTAATTTAACTTGCCACAAATATTTTTTGGAAATAGATGAGGTGTAGCATGTACCTTTCTGCTTCTCAGGAAGACAGCTTGGAGCAGTTGTGGAACATTCTGACCTGTGATGATTTTCTAGAGGAAGCATAACTCGTATTTTTAACCTTGAAAATGCTAAGAATAATTTCTCAGGCCATGTTCATTGAACCGTAGATTTTAAGATCTCTGAAGAATCTCAGAGTCCATCTGGTCTAGCTGCACAGTTTTACAGATGAGAGAAGAGGCTGAATGATTAGCTGTTTCCAAAATAGTGTTCCACAGAATTTTTTTCCTTAGAGGTACATCAAACAGTATTTCCTTCTTGAAAATTTATAAAATATATGAGAATGTATAAATAAATACATTTTAAATATATTTTATACTGTATAAAATACATGAGAACTCCGAGATATCACATTTTATTTTACCTAATATTTCCACAATCTCTTAAGATCATATGATTAAAGAATACTTTTATTAAGTAACATCCATTAATATTCCATATAACACTCTATAAGATGGTCCTATAAAGAATTTTTATCTTTATAATATACTGTGTTTCAGTATTCAAAGAGTTTTGTTGTTGTTACTTAAGAGTAATTTGAATTAATCTGTAATGTATGCATCCATACTTCATAATACACCTAATATCACACATAATTTGAAATGATTACTCTAATGCTTTTTACTTCGTAAAGATATTGGACAGATGAATTTATATTTAGACAGTTTAGGTTTCAGTCTAAAAGGTTCTTATAAGCATGGTATATTGTTTTAATGTTTAGTGGTAACATTAAGGATATTACCCTATTTTAAAAGTAGATTTAAAAAAAATTATCAGCATGAGAATGAAAAATAAGTGACAGGTTACTGGTAGCTGTTCTTATCACAGATTTAATGGAAATGTAGTTAAAATGGTTAACATGTCTCTTCTCTCCCTTTCATTTCTTTTAGCTTCTATGCCTTTTTTGCCTCCTTCCATGACAAGCCTAAAATTATCTCAAAACAGATTTACAAATGTTCCAGAAGCAATTTTAAATCTCCCACAGTAAGTTTATTATTTCAATTTTAAAACCACATGAGGTGGAAAAGAAACTTCAGAAACATGGTTTTGATTAGGCATATAATTTGCCATATAATGATTTATAATTTGTGATTGATTTCTAAACCTACTCAGTTTAATGTTTGTAAATCTATGAGTGTTTGAATTTCATTAGACCAAAGACCTAAGTTGTCACTTGGACTGTTTTAACTGTCGTGCTAATTTAGTGTGCTATTGTGTAGAAACAACTGAAGATTATTGAATTAATTGCTACACTATTATAATCAAATGGGATTGTACTAGCTATCACTTAAACTTTTTGAATTTCACTTGCTCTCAGAAGCTCATATGTTGCTAATATACTCTTAACTTTGAAATTATACTTAAGTTATGTCTGAGTGACATTTTTGGTGACATTTAGGATAGTTTGTGTATTTGGGGATTTTTTGTTTAATTTCATTAAAGATGAAGGCTTCCTCTTAACTGCAAATCCAGGCATTAATTAGATTTCAAGTGGGTTGTCATCTTAAATACTATTCTAATTTTGTTACACGTTATGAACCAAATTCATAAGTGTATACGTGCAAATATATACACACGTAGGCAAATAATGCTTAGTTGTAGTCTAGCCATAGAAGGTGTCAGACAGACACGGAAGAGTTCATTTAAATTTGGCTTTAAAGTGTGTCAGACACTCTTCTAACTGCTCAACAGTGCATCATCTCTTTAATCCTCCCAGGAATCCTATGAAATAGCTACTGTTACTACAATGAGGACACTGTTTCATTAAAGAGATGAAGTAACTTGGCGGAACCACAGTGCTTCCACACGCGTGGTTCCCCTTCACACTCTCAACTCACACATATAGGACTCCTGGTGGTCCTCTATTTGAAGCCATAATATATTCCTGCAGATATGTTTGAAAGTCAGTATTTATGAAAGTTGATTAGGGGATACATGCCATAAAAGAAGCTTTCTCCCCAGAACACTGAAAATATTACCCAGTACTTATTTATGCTATACCTTTAGACACCATCTTCAGGCATACAGTGCAGCATTTTGTATGTATATCTTTAAATGCATTCTTTTGATCCACAAATGTGTGCACTTTCACCAACTTAAGTCCCTACTGAGGCTAAGAGGCACTGCTTTTGACAACCTGGTAATTCTTGGCTTTGTCTCAATTGCAGTGTTTGTTAGACATACATGTCTTACCTCTAACACAGTCAAATAATTTTCTTGTTTTTGCATGTTTTTATAAGATACCTAGCGCAAAATATGGTACCACTTAAAAATAAGAGCAAAAATGTTTTGCAGATTGGAAACTGCCTGGCAGGCCATACAGCTATGTGAGTTTAGAATTCATTCATGATGCTTAAAAGGTGCTGGACAAAAGGGTTCCACGTGTAGTTGAGCAAGTCAGCGGCTTGTTTTCATAGTCAGATGTACTCTCGTCACTGTTGTATTCTTCCTACTGTTTCCTGAAAACTCTGGCTAGTGTATTGCTGCAGGAAAGCAACCAGTCTGTACTGAGGGCTTCCAGGAAGCAAAGCCCGGTGCTCAGTGCCGGGATGTTTGCCCACTGAGACAAGCTGGGCAAAGGGTGCCCGTGCTCAGTAGCAATTAATTCCAGGGCCTGACCTTGGGAGAATCCCCCAGGTAATGAATGAAACTGAAAAGAGAAATGAGGGCTACATATCGTAAATTTTATATAGAAGGGTTATGTGTAAATCTTGCATAAAAGGACCAATTTTACATTTATTAAATGTTCCCTCCTGAATCATAAACTTTTGTAAAACCCTTGGTCTCTCATCCTAAGATTGGCATTTTTATGTTTCTGACGTAGGGGAATTCGGCCTCAGTTTTGTTTTTGATGGCTTCCTTTAAATGTTCCTAGTGAGACATGCCTTTTCTTCTAGCCCATGTACTATATGTACACAGAGACACAGTGCATAGCTACATGGGAGTAATGTTAGTGTTAAAGTTATACCTTACTGTCACTCTGGGGAAAACTGCTGTGATACTGTTTTGTGTATTTTGAAGACCCTCCTTTGCTGTTCGTCTGACCCTGTATTGTTGTAGCTTGCGGTCCTTAGATATGAGCGGCAATGATATTCAGTATCTGCCGGGTCCTGCGCACTGGAAGTCTTTGAACTTGAGGGAACTCCTCTTTAGTCATAATCAGATCAGCGTCTTGGACTTGAGTGAAAAAGCGTTTGCATGGTCTAGAGTAGAGAAGCTTCATCTTTCTCATAATAAACTGAAAGAGGTAAGAGGTCATCTTTGTTTAAAATGATTGCCAATTTAAAAATGGGCTTTTGTAGAAATAGACTCATAAACACAGAGAACAGAGTAGTTGCTGTACGGGAGGAAGGTGGGAAGGAAGGGTGAGTTAAGTGAAGGGGAAAAAAATTTGTGAGAATATTTTCTGTCTTGATCTGGGTGATGGTTACATGAGGGTAAGCGCATGCCAAAATTCATCGAGCTGTATACTAAAAAAAAAAGAAAAGAGAAAAATGAAAGTAATACTGGGTACTGAATACTAAATGGCTAGAGAATTTTTTTTTGATTGGGAAAAATAAACCCCAAATGATTGACGGTTTGCTTCATTTTATGGAGATGTAGTGTTTGAAGTTTGTAGAAAGAGTATGTATTACATTTATATTCAGAAAAAAAACCTTAAAAATTCAGAACAAACACAGGGGGTTGTCTATAATGAAAACCACATACTGTATACATACAAAAATAAATAAGTAATTTTAAACGTGCTTTTGTAGTTTGAATGATCACAGTTTCTTTGATATTTCTCACTTTTGAATAAAATTTAATCGCACCCTGAGGTAAATGGGTGTATTAATATAGCTTAATTTCCTTAAAAAAATCATTCTGTGTTCTATTTTAAAGGAATTAAATAAACATGTCTAATTCATTAGGAATGTGCACAATGCTTTAAAGGTGCCATTTTATCAATCTCTGATCTGTTGACACTCTCAGATGCCCTGTATTTCTCAAGCTGCTGCAAAGCCATGTACACACCCTGTGTTCTTTAGCTGACTTTCCTCCCTTCTTACCTCTCTGCACCCCCCGCCAGGCTGCCCCTTACCCAAGTGGTCGTTTACCCGCCTTTGCTGCACTCCATTGCCTTTGTTTTAAATCTGAAGTTGATTATCATCTCAGAAAAAAAGATTTTTTTTAAGTGTTGGAGCTTATTGCCTATAAAAGCCTAAATGAATTAAGTGTCTGAAACTGGGACGTTCAGAATAACTGTGAATATTTTTTCGGTACCTGAATTTTTACCAGCAAATTAATGTTTCCTGTTGTAAAAGTAATGCAGATTGCTTAAAAAGTTGGAGCAGAAAAGAAAACCCTCCAATTAGGAAACCAAAGTATAAACGTTTTGTGTTTTAAGAACATTAAGTTGTACGTAAGTTTGTGATGTCTAGATCTTTATGGTTTTGTTGGGAGCACAGTGTGAGGGTGCAGGCTGAAGCCACAGGTGACTGGATTTGGGTGACTAGGAAGAACTTCTTTACTTCTAATGTGAGGAGATGAACTGTGTCACCAAGGGAGAAGGGGATTTTTAAAGATTATAAATAAGTGACATAGATTGTTTTGGGTAAGTCCTTTATACTTACATTTTTAAGCGTTTGTAATGAAAACTCTGACAAGCCTTTGGAAAGTTCTGGACTGTTCAAGTGCAAGTTGCTGATGGGATCTCCCACCTGTCTGGTTTCCTATTAGCATCTTGTTTTCTTGGCAGCATGCATTTCTTCCCTCCCACCAACAGTATTTGCCTTTTCTTATTTCATTAAGATTCCTCCTGAGATTGGCTGTCTTGAAAATCTGACATCTCTTGATGTCAGTTGCAACACGGAACTGAGATCCTTTCCCAACGAAATGGGGAAGTTAAGCAAAATATGGGATCTTCCTTTGGATGAACTGCGTCTTAATTTTGATTTTAAACATATAGGATGTAAAGCTAAAGACGTCATAAGGTTAGATAATTTTATTTCCATTTGTTTTTATTATATTTGTTTCGGATGTCCTCTGTGACTTCGGCCATGTATAGTCACAATAGAGGGGAAAATGTATAGTAGTTTTTAACAGCAATATGCTATGTGTCATTTGCCTTCTATTTAACGCATGGGTTTATATGGGGCCACCACGTAGCTTTTCATTTCCTCCTAGCCAGGCTGAGGGAAGGCTTTGCTTCCTTATCACGTTTTCCAGTAGAAATGGACTCTAAAAGCGTATTATTACTATTTGGCCTCTCATTACCAATTATACAATCTAAAGCAATATCGCTGATTATAATAGCTTCTTAAGCTACATTTCATGTATGTTATATGTCATTTATGTCATAGAACATTATAGCTTCTTAAATGGTATAAAATTACTATCTTCGGTTGTACCCGTGAGGATGAGTTACCGACTCACCCTGATCAGTTTTGAAACCCCCAAAGCTTCACAGCTGATTCCTTTTTTCTGGTCTTTACACTTTATGAATCTAAACTATCTTTGACTATGGACTTTATCCCACTCTTTGTTACCTTTTGAGCACATTCATCTTATTGTTACCTCTTCATAAAATCATGTATTTCCGTTCTACAGAATTACTCCTCTCTCTATTTATATTGGAGGTTTCAGCTCAGTTATGACCTCTTGATGTCTTCTTGACTTGAATATAATAGTCAGGAGGCCCAGGACTGTCACTGTGTTCACTCACTATTTATTCATGGCATCTAACACAGAGCCTGGTGTACAATCGATAATTATTGAATTACCAATGAACTACACTTACCTAAGTCTCTTCTGCTTAAGTTTTCTTAAATGTACATTTAACTTTTTGTCACTTATATGATAAAAGATTTGATTCTCCATCCTCCTGCGTCTGATTGAATTTGAAAGGAAAGACTTAGTCACTACATGATTACTCCTTATCCTACATAATTGTTTCCCATGATTTTTCCTCCTGAAAGTAGAAAAAATGTTTATATGAAAATTGGTTCCATTCTTCCAAAACTTTGGTAGAATTAGTTTTCAATGTATTATGCTATGCTATCAAGCCTCTATATAAGTAAATATTTTTAAATGTGTTTAAAATTGAAGTTAAAAGCTGGGGTAGTTTAGATGTTGTAAGCATCATTTGCTTGTTTAAAGAATGCCTTTCTTCAAAGAGTGGTGAATTTTTAATAAACAGATATTTGGACCGTTGATTTCTTATTTTTTGGTGATGAAAACAACTTAAGCTATATGTGACAAAAGGACTAATTTCAATAATAGCAGGCAGAAGCTCTGATCTGTAAGATCGTCTTTTCTAAAGCATCAACAAAATGAAAAAAAGTAATGACACCTTTTGTTCAGATCCTCAAGGATGTTGGCCAGAGTCCTACTGGCTATGAGAATGGGTCAATCACTGTTCTCTAAAATTCACTTACGATTTAGTCAGCTCCTCTAACTTAAAACTGGCAACATTTTATCATAATAAAAAAATATATCTTTCTATATACCTTATATTTTTTAGAACATTTAAAATCTATTAATTTAAAGATGGCTTTGTTAGATACCTACTGTACTTCTATTTTGTTATTTTTACATTAAGATTGCTAAGAAAAGCTACATATTATCTCCTGATAGTATACTAGTTTATATGTATTAATTTATAATGTAACCAGTATGACCTCACTCACCATATACATTGTATATGTATGTGATATATATGCATATGTACATTATATATACCATATATGAATATAGATGTACACATACATATAATGTACCAAATATCACTATCAAAGTTTAGTATAAGTGTATGCATGTATACTCTACCTTAGTTCTCTGTCATGGGCTTTATAAAGTTTTATGCTTTATAATTTTAGAGCTTTATTTATGTTATTTAAAGAAATCTATATATATATGCATATGTGTGTGTGTGTGTATATATATATATATATACCCATATATATAGCATTCTAATTAGTTCATTTTGACATTTTGATTATTTCTAGTGATAGTATAACATGCATTTTATTTGCTAATACTACCAAACATTATGAGCTACATGAACGTCACTAGCGACATACATTACCAGTGCATGAAAGACATGTACATTATTAGCTAATGAGCCCTGCACTCTTTTGCATACTGTATTGTAAAACAGTCTGATATTTTGAAAAATTCAATGCATAAGAATTCACTGTGTTAAGTCTATTGTTAAGCAGTTTATTATTCTATTTTGTCCTTGAAATACCAGGTTCCTTCAGCAGAGGTTAAAAAAGGCAGTACCCTATAACCGTATGAAACTTATGATTGTGGGAAATACTGGGAGTGGGAAAACCACCTTATTGCAGCAATTAATGAAAACCAAGAAATCCGATGCTGGGATGCAGAGCGCTACCGTTGGCATAGACGTGAAAGACTGGCCTGTCCAGATAAGAGGCAAAGGAAAGAGGGACCTCATTCTAAATGTGTGGGATTTTGCAGGTATTTGTTTTGCTAGAATTTTTCATTCACATCTATCTTTTATTTAGAATAGGGATTTAAAAACAGACTTTTCTGTTCCAATACCGTCAAGGGGCCTGGTGGACCCTGTGAAAATTATTCCAAAGCTGTTTACTTCTAATTTTACCTTTGCCCCGGAGCGGAGAAGTCCGTGGAGGGAACTGCTAGGAACCAGTCGACGTGCTCCACTGAAGCTAAGCGCTTAGTTGGTAGCTGACGCATATGCTAAAAGTGGTCAATCCCCAGGAAGAACCCAGAAGAGTCTTCTAAATATTGTCTCTTAATTTTTTCTTTTTTCTATGCTAGATAGTACATAGTGGCAACTAAAAAAAAATTTTTTTTAAAGGACTCTTGCCTATTGTCTGGAAGGCTCAAAAAGTCTCCCATCCTTGTCTAGGGCGCGAGGAGTTCTACAGCACTCACCCCCACTTCATGAGCCAGCGGGCCCTGTACCTGGCTGTCTATGACCTCAGCAAAGGGCAGGCCGAAGTGGACGCCATGAAGCCCTGGCTCTTCAATATAAAGGTCTTTCTCTGTCCATCATTTGAAAATAGAAAATAATTCTTGTTTTTGTGTGTGGGCCAGATCATTTATTTTGGGCAAACAGTGACTTCCAACAGTCCCTCAAGTAGTTTTTTACAAGAAAGTTAGAAGCACTGGAGTTTTGAGTTAGGAAATGTTCCGAGTTAAGTTGGGACACGAAAACAGCCTGTTCGATATTGGTGAAAGTGATGGGTACTTGAAACCCTTTGAAGCTATAAAAATTGAAAATATATATGTTAAACTATCTTGGATCATATCACTTCTTAAATGGAGTATGAACTTCCCTAATGTAAAATACTAAAGAAAGACAATCCGTGGACTGCCAGCTATGCCCTCAGTGGCAATTTGGTATGAAGCCCTTCGGATTGTGCACTTATAAATGGTACCAGTTAATATGCTCCTACATTTGGAATCAGTCTGTGATTTTTCCACTCTGTCCCTTGATGTCACACTGCCAGCTATTCCTTGATACAATGAGGCTCTGTAGAATTGAGACTAAAGTAAGAATAGTGTTCTTTGATGCTTCAATGGGCTCTTCTGAGTCAAGTCCTAAAAAGGTTTGTGTCAGGATATTTTGGCATGTATTTTGGCTGCATTCCAGGTCATCTTGTACTTTTTTTTAATAAGAGCAAAAAATTTCTTTTCTTTATCACAGCTAGCCAAAGTGAGCAAATATTATAGCAATGTACAGTAAAAAAGATTACAAATATGGCAGTAATACTTGCTTTCATGGCTTTAAAAAAACCCATCAAATTGAATGACTTCAAAGTGAATTCAGGAGATTGAATTTGTATATAAGGAAGAGAAAATATAAACCCTATTTTGTCTTTGATATGATTTCGGGGTATATTAAATGCTTATTTCATTTAGAAGTCCAAAGCACACATAGAGAATAACTCATTTAAGGCATAAGGAAACGAAAAAAAATGTACTACTACTATTATATAGACCACCTAAAATATGGTGATCATTGGATTACGAAGGGGCACGAAAACATCTTCAAAATATCTCAAGTTTACATCTTTTCCTTCAGTTTAAGGAAAGAGAGAAATTGTCATTTCCTTCTTCTTGAAGTCTTCACTTCTCATTTCCACTTAAGTGGAATTTGAGAATTTGGTAGAACGCGAATAGGAACAGAAACGTACGCGCGCTTTTGAACACAAAATTGCGTTATTTTGCGTCGTGTCCTCCAGGCGCGAGCTTCGTCCTCCCCCGTGATTCTTGTCGGCACCCACTTGGACGTCTCGGATGAGAAGCAGCGGAAGGCCTGCATCGGCAAGACCACGAGGGAGCTCCTCAACAAGAGGGGCTTTCCTGCAATACGGAATTACCATTTCGTAAATGCCACGGAGGAATCGGACGCTTTGGCCAAACTTCGGAAAACCATCATCAACGAGAGCCTTAATTTCAAGGTAACATGGTTCGCGCCTGCTGTGGGCTGGTGGACGAATAGAATTTATTAATTCTCATGTTATGCAACTGCCTGGAAAAGTCAGAAGTCTTGAGAAGAGGATTCTTTGGGTGATTTTTAAAAATTCCTTTTAAACATTTTTTTTTAGATCGTTAATGTACATTACTTGAACAGCATTATGGTTACTAGACTCCCCCTATTATCAAGCCCTCCCACATACCCCATTACAGTCACTGTCCATCAGTGTAGTAAGATGCTGTAGAGTCACTACTTGTCTTCTCTGTTATACTGCCTTTCCCGTGTGCCCCAACCCCAACTACATTATGTGTGCTCATCATAATGCCCCTATTCCCCTTCTCCCTCCCTCCCTCCCTTCCCACCCATCCTCCCCAGTCCTTTTCCCTTTGGTAACTGTGAGTCCATTCTTGGGTTCTGTGAGTCTGCTGCTGTTTTGCTCCTTCAGGTTTTACTTTGCTCTTTTACTCCACAGATGAGCGAAATCATTTGGTACTTGTCTTTCTCCGTCTGGCTTATTTCACTGAGCATAATACCCTCCAGCTCCATCCATGTTGTTGCAACTGGTAGGATTTGTTTTCTTCTTATGGCTGGCTGAATAATATTCCATAGTGTGTATGTACCACATCTTCTTTATCCATTCGTCTACTGATGGACATTTAGGTTGCTTCCATTTCTTAGCTATTATAAATAGTGCTGAGATAAACATAGGGGTACATCTGTCTTTTTCAAACTGGGTTACTGCATTCTTAGGGTAAATTCCTAGGAGTGGAATTCCTGGGTCAAGCGGTATTTCTATTTTGAGTGTTTTGATGAACCTCCATACTGCTTTCCACAGTGGTTGAACTAATTTACATTCCCACCAGCAGTGTAGGAGGGTTCCCCTTTCTCCACATCCTCACCAACATTTGTTGTTGTTTGTCTTTTGGATGTTGGCCATCCTAACTGGTGTGAGGTGATCTCATTGTGGTTTTAATTTGCATTTCTCTGATAACTAGTGATGTGGAGCATCTTTTCATGTGCCTGTTGGTCATCTGAATTTCTTCTTTGGAAAAGTGTCTGTTCAGCTCCTCTGCCCATTTTTTAATTGGCTTATTTATTTTTTGTTTGTTGAGGTGAGTGAGCTCTTTATATAATTTGGATGTCAACCCCTTATCAGATATGTCATTTATGAATATATTCTCCCATACTGTAGGATGTCTTTTTGTTCTACTGATGGTGTCCTTTACTGTACAGAAGCTTTTTAGTTTGACATAGTCCCACTTGTTCATTTTTGCTTTTGTTTCCCTTGCCTGGGGAGATATATTCATGAAGTTGCTCATGTTTATGTCTTTTAAACATCTTTTAACTAGAAATTAAGATTTTTTGACAGCTTATTACCATTATTAAAGCACATGCAACTTCAGAATTACCTATTTATGCCCTGCCTCATTCCAAATACATAGAAGTGGTAATAAAAATAATTAGAGGATCTTGAAAGAAACTAAGAGAATGTGGGGAAATGTTCCGGATGCCTTGTCTGCCTTCCTCCTGTGGCGGAGACTCTGTCCCCAGCCCTGGGGCCTGGGGCCTGTCTGCCCTCTGTCATTCTCTGCCTCCTTTTCCTCCGTCTGTTCCTCGGACCTCCTGCTTTTGGAGTTCCTGTTTGAGGCCCATCTCCGTCCTCAGTGCCACCTTCTTGTCCTGGCCCTGGGATACCCACTCCCCGTTTTTTTTTCAGTATTGTGAGGTGGCTCTTTCATTTAGTTTTCAATCATGTCTAAGCAATTCTTTAGTTCCTGCACATCAGGTTTTTCATTTTAGGAATTACATCCTGATTTCCCAAGCTGTCTTCTGGCAAGCCAAATGTGATTCATAGCCTCCATGACACAAATAAATTGCTTATCAGGTGAACGTTTGTTTTTAATTCATGCAAGAGAAAGAAATCTTCCCTGGGTTCTACCGGCAGCATGCTGCATGCTGTACAGAAAATTCCCCGAATAGTTCAGTATAACAAACACAATGGAGAGTTTCCCTGTTGGTTTAGCTCATTAGCACTAATGATCAAGGTCATGGCTTATAACTAGGGTCCTGTTTTGTGTGGCAGTCTTAGCATGATTATTAATAGTGTCCCACTAATTCTGAAAAGCATTCCAGTTTGGATGATAAATTGTATGGCTGCCCTGGATAAATGGATTATGCCCCTATCCACAACCTAATGAGCCATTTACAAACGGCCAGTCTTTGCAGTGCCCAGGGAAGGAATCTGCATGTTTATCTTTCAACACATTTAACACAGTGACTAAAAGGTTTTGCCAAAGGGGGATCAGTCATGGCATTTTATGTAAAAAAGAATATTATTTGTGTGCAGATTTTCCTATTCCCCTGTGGAACATTTGATTAGAGAGTAATAACTTTGAAGAAACAAATATGCAAAATTCATAAATCTAATTAAGTATACTTGTTATCCTGGTGTTTTTCTTTGGAGACTATACCTGTCTTCGAGAGCTTGGCCGTCCCCTTATAATATCTTGATAGCTTATCTTTTTATCATCGTTGCCAAAGCATATATTGTAGTTTTAAAAGGACTTCTTGGAGGATGAGTTTGTTTTGAAAAGGCCTGAATTTAGTTGAAGCAAAGTATGTGGTTAATGTGGTTGGTTGGTTCGTCCAGCTAGACTACTTTAGTCTAATTTAGCAAGGTATCATTGTCAGTCAAGGAAACCAGCTTCCCCCCTGCACTTCTAAATGAGCTCTGAAGGCAGCACTCTGCAAGGAAGTAAAGCAGATGCTCTGAGAAATGGTGGTTTTATTTGAGGAAAGGTATATATTGCTAATGGGTGCATCGTTCTGGCATACTGGTTTGAAAATTCATTTGATAGTGACTCTCTCAGGATGACCCCGAACCAATGAGCCTGCCAGAACTTGAGGTGCTTCAGCCTGTATTCACATAGCAGCTTTCAATGTATCAGAGATTTGTGTGTGTGTGAGCTCTCATTCGTCTTTCATCTTTTCCTTTTATCTTGGCTCTTCTCTACTATTCCCCTGTCTCCCCCTGGTTAGTATGTGCCCATGCAAGCTCTAGAGTACATTTTACTAAAAAATTTTTTGGCTGTTGGTGACCCGATAATCTAGCTAAAAGGAGAAGGACAAAGCAGAGTATAATGTCAACAATTCCCCTTTCAGTCTTGTCTAGCCCATTAGCAGAGCGGGTTCCTTAGCTGGCCCTGTGACCCAGCCCTATAAAATTCATCCCTTTACTACGTGATTGGCTTTTTGTGAGAACCCTTGTTTATTCTATATATTTTCTTCCTTGGGTTAAACATACATTTCAACCTGAAGTTCTATTTTTTCTTAATTTTTAAATGATGAAGAGAGGGACTATGAAGACTGGAGGTTAGTGAAATTATATTTAATTTTCTGGGGGAAGTGATATTTGAAAACAATCTTTTGATTGGAGGTGAATATGGTTTTTAAAATATGGTTAAGGCTGCTCTCAGTCAAGGTCCTTAAAATTCTAATTACAGGCAGAGAAAGAAAGTTTAATTGTGTGTGTTTGTGTGTGTGTTTAATAAACCCAAAATCTGTTTGTAATAAACTTGGTAATTGAAGTAGAAATTCTGATCACGAATGTCACGTTAAAAGAATATACAGGAATATACACTTGGGTCGAGACATGGGGAGCGTTTGCCACCTAGTGGCTGCGAAAGGCATTTTACTTACTCTTGTTAGAGCTGCATTTCTATTTAGAATTAGATTTCAAGAGTGGAGAAAGAAGGGTTTAGGAAAGATCTTTATTATAGAAACCATCATCTTAAGGCCAGTCTTTTAAAAAAATGTATTTCCTACATCTCTCAACTAGTAGACAGTGTTCAAAATCCAGCCAAAAATCATTCTCTCATGTCAGAATCATTGGTGTTTATATAATTTTTTATTTTATATTATAAAGTGATAATATTTAATATTACAACTTATAAGTTCAAGTTTCCTTGAAAAATCATAGCTTGGGTGAGGAGATTCGATGCCTATCTCCGGGCTTCAGTATATATATTATACTAATATAACATTTGCAAATAACAAGCACAATATCTGTTTTATCTCAGGTTGTGGCTCTTTTCATCTAATAAATAAGGCCCAAAAGCTCTTGTGATGCTTACCGATTTCTTATGCTAGGATATCTGTTGCATATTCATTTAATATCTCAGAAAACAGAAAATTCTTTATTCATGTTTAGTGACTTATCCTGGGTTTTATCATGGATTTTCTGGATAGCTAGATAAATATTTCCATACTATTTTATTTGATAGTTCTTTCCAAATTGCTTTCTATGTTCCTATTTTTCTTATTTTAATGTCATCTTGTCTATTCTTCACAATTTGATTTTATTAACTCGTACACTTCTGAATAATATACCCCTTTCTGTGAAAGACTTATTAGTACTGAATTTACCAGCCACCTGACAAATATATGAATAAATTGGATTTTTACAGCTTGTCATTTGTCATTACATAGATCCGAGATCAGCCTGTTGTGGGGCAGCTGATTCCAGACTGCTATGTAGAACTTGAGAAAATCATTTTATCGGAGCGTAAAAATGTGCCAATTGAATTTCCTGTAATTGACCGGAAACGATTATTACAGCTGGTGAAAGAAAATCAGCTGCAGTTGGATGAAAACGAGCTTCCTCATGCAGTTCACTTCCTAAATGAATCAGGTTTGTGTGTTCGCTTGTTGCACATATTTTCAAGACTCTGCTGCAGTAATGTATAGAAATGTGTCTGAACCTTGTATAGGACTTACATTCAAGTTTAGCAGAATACCTACAAAATTCTTTAATAGGCCGCTGACTTTGATTTTGGAACATCATCTTAGGCACTGATGTTGAACCATAATTCATGGCAATTTCTTTTTTCTCCCAAAAAAACATTGAGAAATCTTCGATGGGCTGTAGTGGGCAGAGTCTCTGAGCAGGAGTTAAAGCATGTGGGTTCTAGAACTTGACGTAACTCTTCAGGAGCTGTGGGACCCTGAGTACGAGTCATCTCTTCCCATTGTATCAAATAAATTAGGTGTGTGGGAAGTTACACACTGCAAAGGAGAACCACTGTGGGGGCGGGGGCGTCTCACTGGGCACTCAGAGACCCAGCGGTTGTCGAGGCAACGCAGCTGCAGAGGCAGATCGTGCTCTGTTGTGTGGCACATCGAGAACATGATCTCACAAACTTGCACTGACATCGGTGCCCACGATTGTGTACCTAACATTGCTACAAATGTGTGAGCTGATTTGCAGTTCGAAGGTAAGTGGCTGGAAGCTCCTTTTGGTCCCTAGATTCTGTGGTATGAAAAATATCTTCATATGGATTAAAATCTGTACCTTTTCCCCATCATTCTTAAACCAGTAGCTTCCTGCAATATTCTATGTTTCTTACCTATATTTGAAAATAAGATGTATCTTTGTAGTGGATATTAAAAAATTACAAATTTCTATTTATTTGTAAATATATGCTCTGGAATGCATGGCGTTGCCTCAAATACGCTTCGATATGATCATTTTGTATCGTTTAAAAAATACTTGTTTATGATATCGGGGCGTCAGAGCTCGGGAACTGGGGTGCCCACATCTAGTCTCAGCTCTTCCGCTAACAACACACTAGTGTCCTCATGCATAAAGTGAGGGGGTTGGACTAGATTCTCTCTAAAGCCTCTTGCTGTCTGTATATTGCAGTTCCCATGTTTTACCATTTGATTTTCATCACAGGGGTCCTTCTTCATTTTCAAGACCCAGCACTGCAGTTAAGTGACTTATATTTTGTGGAACCCAAGTGGCTTTGTAAAGTCATGGCCCAGGTTGGTGTCTCCCGGTTTTGTGGGGTGGGGGTAATGAGGAGGACAAGTGGCGCCCAGAGCGCCGAGCGCTACTGAGTTTGTGTTCAGTGCAGTGGAAGCTCTGCACGTGCAGAGAACCCCAGAACAGTTTGTGTGGGAGGCTGCGAGAGCAAGAGCTTCAGGGAAGAAGGGAGGGCACTTCAGCGCCTTTGCTTTCACGTCTCACGCAGGTGTGGGTACCCCGTCCTCTAGTGCTGCTCTAGATCCCGATGATGGCTTTGGTTTGGTTACCAGCAACCAAGGCAACTGAATGAGACCTTTGTGAAAATCCTTGGGGTCAATATAGGAAGACAGTTGGGTTGATGAGGCCGGGAAACGTCCATTCAGACTACGTGGAGGGGAGTTTTGAGTCATGTGTGGGGTGTCAGCTCTCAGCGCGTACGGTTTTGAAAACTTCAGATGTGAGTGGTTATGACTGGCTTTTCTCCATTTATATTTCACATGGAAAATGATTTCTTCTCCGAACGATAATCAATTACCAAAGGGCTCATAGTAATTAGTTATCATAATCCGTCTCTACAGGCTGGCCGCAGAAAACCACCCACGCAGAACACACTAGCTCAGGGTCTCTGCGTGTTAGCACTATGGGCGTTTTGGGCCAGATAATTCTCTGTTGTGTATTACAGGGTGACAGCAGCTTCTTTGGGCCTCTGCCCTCTAGATGCCAGCAGTACCTTTCCAGCATGATAAGCAATAATGTGTCCAGGCATTGCCAGATCTGCTGGAGGTACAGAACCACCCTGGCTGAGAACAGCTGCCTCTGGCTGAGTCTAATTTATAGTTTTGCACGTGACGCTCTACATCCCTAACATGATTCTATCTTTTAACCTGAGATATCTTCCTTCTAATAAAACCATAATGGTAATTAAATTTCCTCAGATAATCTTGAATGATACTTCCTAAATTCCATCTAAGGAAAAAGAGGAAGATATTTTGAAGAGGGAACTCGATTGGGGTGAAATCCTCTACCGGGAAACTCAAAAGCATGTTGAAACATTATTGCATTTCGCAATTAATGGTAATGTGACAGTTGTACTATTTTGGTAGCTATGTTTAAAGTAGATTTTCATCCTTCTGCATATAAGCCGTGGAAAATGTGATTTCACTCGTCCAGTGAATGGTAATGGAGACAGTAAAGCGTGGACTCTACAGCTCGCATGACCTGTTTCCAAATCTCTTCTGAATCCTTACCAGCTTTGTGACATTTCTCAATGTTTTAAGCCTTTGTTTCTTCCCTTGTGAAATAAGGATAATAACAGCAGCATCTTCGACATTGCCACCCTCGTTCAGGGTAGGGGAGCAGTAAATGCTAAGCATATTATATTTGACCTATTTGGTGATTAAAGACTTATTTTAGGAAATGAAAAACAAATGTTTAAAACTATAAAGGTGTATTTACATAGTTTTGGAACGTGTGGCAGATATGGAGCTAAGAAAAACATATGTGTAGGTGGATGCATTCTGCACAGCAAGGGGAGTTTTAAATAGACCCTGAAGAGTTTCTTGTCCTAGGAGGCACACCATGTCAGGAAATAACTAAACTCTAGATCAAGAAGACTCCGTTTGCACCAGAAAGCAGTTTGCTGCCATGTGAATTGGGAAAATTTAAAGTTGCACGCATGTGGATATTAGGGTGAGCACATCTTACTCAGTAGAATAAGGAAGTGGTTCGTATCAGAATCACCATCATTTAACAAAAGCAAATTTCCACCATGCCCCCAATAAAATTCCTGAAGATTCTATGGAGTAATTAAGTTGAAACTCCATGAAAGTTCTTCTCATTAGCATAGTTATACTGTAGTCATGATATTGTAAAAGAAAATTAAGAATTCAAAGTTATTTTGAAAGATAGATTTAAAGGGTCAGTAAAATAATTTAAATTTCTTATTAACTTAAATAATGAATCTCATCATTTTATTTCTGCTGGGATATTAAAATACAAAGTCATTTTCATTAAGGTTTAAAGAGAATGAAAGCTATAAATAATCAAGTGAAAACAAGAATGACTTACCTGACACCCATCAGCAAAAATAAATAGAGGTATTCACTCCATGAATCATGAAGTCTATGGCAGAAATAATTTCATGGTGCAGAAGCTCTAATGAGCCCATCCTCCCTCTTTGTGCCCCAAGCTGTTAGGTCACTAAACTTATTAAAGAAGGTTCTGTCAACGCACAGAGAAGTTTGCAAAACTCATTTAACTGTATGATGAAAGAGATAGAAACGGGACCTATTGAATTAATCAGTTGGAGTATTAGAAGGCTTGCATGGTAATTTAATCTTGATTAAAAACTTGAGTGAGGAACTTTGAAAATTCTCTTTCCTTACCTAAGAACATAAGTTAGCCTTATACGGTACTGGTCTGAAGGACTATTAGGTCTTTCAAAGATGATAACATTAAGGTAGTATTTCAGTTTTTTATTGCTCTGTAACAAGATACCTGCAAACCTGGAGTGAACAAATAGCCCTTGAATAAAACATCAACAGTTCATTGTTTCCCACTATTCTGTGGCTTGGCTAGTCTTTAAACCTGTAGTGATAACACAGTCTGGAAGATAATTTCCCAGCAAAATACTCCTGATGAGACTGTAATAAGGATGTGGGGTATTAGAATGATCTGTTAATTGGAGCTGGGGAAGGCTTGAGGTTCATCAATTTCAGAAGATCTGTATAATTTTTTATCTGAATTCACTCCATTATTTAATAAATGGTTTTTTTTGGTGGGAGTGGATGCCCCGCTGGGCTTCTAGGCTATGTGGCTGGCTAGCTAGAGAAATTAGGTCCTGTGTTATACTTGACAATGTTAAAATTGTTCTGATCATTTTTACTGACCCAGGAGACATGATATGCCTTAAATTCAAAACTTTTCAGAAAAGAAATTACAGTGATTATTTATAAGTTTAAATCTTTCAGATTTTGACAGTGAAAGTGGAAGGTTATCCAAAACACCCTAAAGGAATTATTTCACGGAGAGATGTGGAAAAATTTCTTTCCAAGAAAAAGAGATTTCCAAAGAACTACATGTCACAGTATTTTAAACTTCTAGAAAAATTCCAGATTGCCTTGCCAATAGGAGAAGAATGTTTGCTGGTTCCAAGCAGGTAAGCCAAAACTTAAAAATTTAACTTCCCTATGGAAATCCACCATCTATTATATTGTTTTAAATGTCAAAATACCTTTGGTTTATGATAAATGTACTGACTTATTTCCTTGTGTCAGCTTTCCAAGTATAACTTTCACTTTTAATGAAAACGCTGCACTTGACATGTTAAAGATACAGCAAATGACTTTTTATGTATATAACTGCTATTTGGTTTACTACTACTTATATTACTTAAGAAAGATAGTGGAGATTATTTTAGAAGTTCATATATGTGTGTGTCCTTAAAGGTACTAAGAGAGTTATACTAGACAAGTTCAGGGGAGATAGTGAGTTTCAACAGTCCTGAAAGAATTTATGGCAGTGAATTTTCAGAGGAGAGGGGTAACATCCTAGCCCTAGAATGTGGAAATTTTTCTTACTGCTTTATATTTTCTCATTGCTGGGGATTGTTATAAACTAATATGACATTGAAAGATTCAAATTACATTGATTGATGGATGGCAGCCAATTCTAAAAATGGATGTACACTTTTTTCTAGGACATGCATTTTTTTCCAGTTTCATTTAATCCCTTCATACTTGTCCATGCATAACTAATCATAATTTATCAGTGTCGATACGATTACCAAAAAAAAAAAAAATTCATGCCTCTACTACATCTGAGCATGCCTTTGTATTGATTAAATAACCATTGAATTTTTGAACTAGCAAGATCCTGTAGCTAAAGAACGTTATAAAAGAGCGCAATTGCTTAGAATATTTATCTTCAGTTTATCCACTTCAAGTAGTAAAACACTGTGGTCACCAGAGTTGGGTGTTTCATGAAGCTATGTAATGACAGCATCCTTTCTCCTTTAGTTTGTCTGACCATAGGCCAGTGATAGAGCTTCCCCATTGTGAGAACTCTGAAATTATCATTCGACTATACGAAATGCCTTATTTTCCAATGGGATTTTGGTCGAGATTAATCAATCGATTGCTTGAAATTTCACCTTACATGCTTTCAGGAAGAGGTATGTATTTCATGAAGACTTCATATTTAGAGACATTAGGGGGACAGGCATATTAAAATTAATGTCACTTTTTCAGAGTTTACTTACTTGTATGGCAGCTGCAAATCAGAAAATAAGATCCTAAGACTTGAGAGTGATCAATACAAAGACACATAAAATTCATACAATTTGTCACAAAGAAAATTCCTCAGGCCACTTACTCTTATTTTAGACACATTTACAGTGAGTATGAATGTCTTGCTTTCTAAGCAAAAGCAGACCAGAGGCTATTATTTTAAAGGTGAGATTACTAGGGTATTAGTTTTTAACACACACTAACAAAGAAAAACTAGAAATTACCACCACTGCAAAGTCCGGGAGTTTTAATGTAAGTTTTACTTACATTAGCCGGTCCTGACCGTCCCAATCACTCCGCAGAGGGTGTAATAGAGCTGCTGCACAGGCCCTGAGGGGTTTACAAAAAAGAACAAAGATTGATGTTTCTAATGCTAGTTCTTCCTTCTGGGAGACAGATCTTAGTGCTCCAAAGAGAAAATACTACTTTTGGGGGGGGGCTAAAAAATTAAGTTTATGTAGGTATACTGTATTCTGAAATAAATCTTAGCTTGCTCACAATTAATCAACATACAGGTCATTACAATGCCCTAAAATGCTCAGGAAGTTTTGGTTTTAGCATAAACACCAACTTATTTTTTGAAAGTTATGAGAATTTATTTATACTTCTCTTTCATGTATTAAACACATTAAACTGCTTAACACCATGACTCTGAAATCTGTATTGGGTAATCTACTGGGAATTTTGTTTATTTTGTTGCAAATTAATGATAAAATATTTAATATCGTTATTTGTTAGATATGGGTGAAGACTCCTATCAATGATTCCACTGCTTTCTCTCAAAACAAATATATCTTTAACTGTCACTGGTGGCATGTATAGTGATTTTTTTCCCTTTAGTTTATGGATGCGTTAATAATTATGGATCTGTTTGGGTGCATTTAAACTTTTTTCAGAGCGAGTACTTCGCCCAAACAGAATGTACTGGCGACAGGGCATCTACTTGAACTGGTCTCCTGAAGCTTATTGTCTGGTGGGATCTGAAGTCTTAGATGATCATCCAGAGAGTTTCTTAAAAATTACAGTTCCTTCTTGTAGAAAAGGTAAGGAAATTAATCCAAAACTTTGAATTGTACTCCTAAAGAAATCTAAACTTTTCCCCCTTAATTTTATAGCGCCTCTTTTCTATCCTTGGGTGAGAATAAGGGCCAGAGGGGATGTTAATGAACTTCTCTTGGACTATGTAGGTTGCATCCTTTTGGGCCAAGTTGTGGACCACATTGATTCTCTCATGGAGGAATGGTTTCCTGGACTACTGGAGATCGATATTTGTGGTGAAGGAGAAACTCTGTTGAAGAAGTGGGCATTATATAGTTTTAATGATGGTGAAGAGTGCCGAAAAATCTTGCTTGATGACTTGATGAGGAAGGCAGAGGAAGGTATGTGCTGATAAGGTTTACAAGTGTCTCTAAGTGATCCTGTCAATATTTGTGAAGTGTGTATTATTGTAAATATAAAAATTATTCTTCTCCATGAGACATGAGTTCGGGGATATTATATTCAATGCGAAAGACAGTTCAGAAAAATGGATCATATGTATTACCGGTAAGATCTTGTGCTGTTGATTCACAAAAATGTTTGGAGACTTTGAATCCTGGCTCATTGAGCAGCAAAACCTTGTCTGTGAAATGGGAATACTGACCTAGCTTCTGTCATAGAGCTGTTAGGAGGATTTCAATAGATGATACATGGAAATAAGTTAGCAACATGTTGGCCATAGAGTAAGTGCTCCGTGTATGTGGTCAGTTAAAAAAAAAAAGGGGGGTAATTTCTTAGTCAGATGTCAGATAGTCCAAGGCAGTTCTGAATTCTACTTTCTAACAAATGAATCTAAGGATGAGTTTTTTAGATTCCAAATAGATATTAATTGAGCCTTTAGAAGTTTCTCAGATTTTCTAGAGAAAAACAGAATTGGTAAGAAAACCAATGAGTGATTAGAAATCATAGAAAACATGGGATTATTTTTGTAAATCAAAAGCATGAATTTTTGTATATCCTTAAATATTTGTCTTTTTAAAACAATGTTTTATGTGCTTCTCAGGAGACCTCCTGGTAAATCCAGACCGGCCGAGGCTCACCGTTCCTATATCTCAGATCGCTCCTGACTTGATCTTGGCTGACCTGCCTAGAAATATTATGTTGAATGATGATGAACTGGAATTTGAACAAGCTCCGGAGTTTCTCCTAGGTAACTACTTTTGTCGGTTTGAGAATAAAAATTAGGATGCATTTTTCTTTATAATTTATAAAAATAGAAATAGAATTATATTATGATAGTCTTAGTGTCTTCATAGATTTGTTACAGTGTTGTTTTCCTTTGGAAAGATACATTTTAAAATCAGATGTTACAGATTTGGAATTCAAAGCTGTGCACAAGCTCTTGTAGAATAGGTTTGAGGTGGGGTGACTACTATGGAACCACACATATTTATGAAATATGTCTTTGCATTTGCTGTAATTGCCAGGGATGGGGGAGCTAGACAAGTTGGTTTTCGGTTGAGTGATGCAACCATTTTTCAGTCTCATAAAGATGGAATAAGTCAAGAAAGACCACCTCTAGGTAGTCATAGTACCAGTTTTGTTATTCAATAGACCAATCATAAATTCTCATTGAACTAGTTATAAAAATAGTTTGGGATTAAAATTTCAGAAGCATTAAATTGGTGACATACTCAAGTGCTAAACATTCCTGAGAGTCACTGGGAACTTTGAAGAACATTGGTTGATTTAAATATAGTATTTGAAGACAATTCAGACTTTACTTTGTGGAGTATTTGTTGGTATGTGTATATACATACTATTTTAATTAAATTTCCACAGAGAGAATGCCCAAAACATGTCTGTCAAGGACATTCATGTCATTAATAAAAAATCTCCAAAATTTGAGACATGACATGTTAAGGTCAATAATCTCCTTTGTACCTGTATTCTTTACAAGATTGGGAAATTTAGAATGAATTTAAGTGTTTTGGAACTCTGAAAGTGAATATATTAGTAATTGTGGGTTAACACAAAATGTTGAACTGTCAAGGTCAAATTCTAGATCTTAACCAAAACCAAACCTGGCTGTGATTCAAAGGGTACAGGCACACTGTATTCTTTGTCTGAATGAGTCTCCAGCCATCAGACACAGCTTTCAAATATCCCTCTTTCTTTCATTAACATGTGTTTCAAATTAATGTAGAAATGTTGATTACAAAGTTTGTTTTGAAGCACCTGTGTTCCCCCCCCATTTTATTGAGATACAATTGATATGGAGCGCTGTAATGTTTACGGTGTGTAACATAGTGATTTGACCTACGTATGTCATGGAATAATTACCACAGTGTAGTATAGTAAATGCACATAATCTTAAAAAGATACAAAATAAAAAGGATTTTTAAAAAAGTTTGTCATGAGAACTCTTAGGATTTACTCTCCTAACAACTTTCATAGACACCATAGAGCAGTGTGAGCTACAGTCATCATTATGTGCAATGATATCCTTAGGAATTCTTTATCCTGTAACTGGAACTTTGCACCTTTGACCACCTTCAAAAGCACCTGTGTTTTATATTCTATTAATTACACAAATAGGAAAATGTTTGCATAAGAACTGCCTATTCTCTAGCCCCATGTGTCATAAACTCATAAATTCCGTATTTATTTACAAGAAGCAGTCTAGATCGGGGTTTCTCAACCTCGGCACTACTGTCATTTTGGACTGAGTAATTATTTGGGGGGCTGTTCTGTGCACTGTGGATGTTTAGCAGCATCCTTGGCCTCTCTGCGCCTGATGTCAGTACTGTTTTCTCACCCTGCTCCTGAGGTGTGACGATTAATAATGTTTCCAGAACATTGCCAAAGGTGGAGGGTGGGGCTACCGGACCAGCATTACCCTGGCCGAGAACCACTGATGCAAACAAATCAGATACACCCCGCTAAAAACATGGTATAGTCAGAGACTCCGTAGTATCTTTATGCAAGGGTGGGCTGGGGAGGTCATTCATTGCCTGACTCTGTGAGTTTCTTTGAAGGGCAGCAGTGAATTTCAGACTTTTGTTAACCACTCCTCCCCAGGTAGCAGCTACTATTAGGCAGTGACTAAATGACACATCTTAATAGACTTGTGACCATCAATAGACCTGTTTTGTGACTGTTCTTTTAAACACACATGTATGGGGTTTGGCATGTCTGAGGAGTTGTGGGGTGCATTCTCTCTGAGGGACTACTTTTCCAGAGAGCCGCAATAGGAAGGTGCCCCAGCGGTGTGATTTCATGGGTTAGGAAGGTTTCCTTGTCTCTATTTACACAATACAGTTGTATTGTGTCATAATTACACAGTAACAGTCCTTAACCCTATTTTTGCTCTTAGTATGACAGTTCATACTTCATTTGAATATGACAGTGTTTCTAAAATAGGGAAGGGCTTTAAAAAAATTACAAATCTCTACTGCTCCCACCTGAAGATTTTATATATATCTCCCTAGAATGTTTCTTCTCTGGGTTCAGAGAAGAGGCGCTCTTGGTCTCCAGTGCTTTCTGTCACCAATAGCTGTGCAGACCAAGGGCAGCCAGAGCAGGTGCATCTATATTTAAGTCTCCATTCCTCCTGCTCAGTCTCTCCTTTTCCCTCCACTTGCTTTCTTCTCTTCTCCCTCTACTGTTTACCCAATCCTGTTTTGATTCCAGTGCTTAAGTGTTCATAGAGCCTTTATTTACCCCTGAAACTCTTTCAATACCAACAATATTAACTAACGGTTTTAAAAGTTGAATATTGAGGGTAAGATGGGAGGATACCAAGACTGGTAATGCACAGATATGATTTTAACGTGTTTATAATCTAATAGAGATACCACATATACTCGAATGATTTACTGTTCTTATTTTTAACATACATGGTTTCTGAGCATGACATATTTTTATGCATTGCCCTGTAGACATTTAAAAATACATAGTACAAAAACAAAAATATACAAAATATCTGTTTCCCATAAATGAATAATTTTACCATTTAGAAATAATGGGTTTTACCATTATTATTACTTCTTTGTAGATTTTCCTGAGTTCTTTCACTCGTAGCAATCAAGTACCTGTATTTCCAGGCCCTATATGAGAATGTAAATACTGTGCGAATAAGGATGCACTGTATGTCAGTGAGGAGTAATAGTCCCCGGGGTTGATTATGGGTGATTTCTCACACCTTGGTTTCTCAGTGTGTGCTGATAGATTCAATAAACACCCTAGAAGTTGCGATGATGACATAGCAGAGCATAAAAGATATGGATATTCAGGACATTTTGGCTATTCCAGTGTGTCTAGAACAGTTGTTTTCAATTCTGGTTGTTCATCGCATAACCTGGGGAATTAAAAGGAAAAAAAAAAACATCCTAAGGACCAGTACCTCATGGGATTCATTCCATCAGAGCCTCTGAGCGTGGATTCAGACATTAGTCTTTTTTAAAGCTCCTCAGCTGTACTGTGCAACCAAAACGGGGAAGGGAGCGACCGAGCTGGCCCTAGAGAGTAGGTAGAACAGGGAGAGAACTGCCAAGGGAATTTGGGGCCACAGTATGTTAGTGAGGCTGATTTTGGGTTTCATTCAGTAGAAAATACAGAATTAGGTTTTGAGCAAGAGAGTGACACACTCGGAGTGTAGTTATGGGGGAAATAATTTTGCGGGAGAAGAAGAATGAGTCGGAGGTGATGAACCGACGAGGCCCCCGCAATGTAAGCAGGAAGCACCCAGGGCTCCGGATCCGCGTGGTGGGGGTGGAAACAGAAGGGAGGCCCGGACGTGAGGGCTGCAGCAAAGCGGGCATCAGCTGGCTGCAGGGGCTGGGCATGGGGCGAGAGCTCAGGTAAGGTGTTGGCTTTCACCCCAGAATGGCCACACAAAGAGGTTTGTTAGGTTTTTATCAGATATGTAGAAGGTGGAATAAAAACTAGTTTGGAGATAGGATGGTGAACGTGGCTTTGGATGGAATGTGATTGAGATCTGGAGGAGCAAGCCAGGGGGAATCTCTAAAATAAAGTTGTAAATGTAGAGTTTAGGAGGTATACATGTGGCTTGTGGCTATACATGAAAATGTGAAAATTCCATATGGAGATAATGTTAGGGGGGAGATGAGGTAATTAAGTGGGGAGGGTGGGGATGGAAGACAGGAAGGTGGGTGCAAAACCTTGAGGTGCATCTTAGTTCACGGAGTAGAAGACAGAAGAGGAAGCAGTCATGAATTCAGTGGAACAGGTGCGTCAGATTTCTCTTCAGGTATACAGTGGATATAATTACTCGGACTTAATTTTTTCATCTTTTATGGCTGGATTCACTTAAGAGCCTTGTGCTTTCTTTCCAAAAGGTGATGGCAGTTTTGGATCTGTTTATCGAGCAGCCTATGAAGGAGAAGAAGTGGCTGTGAAGATTTTTAATAAGCATACATCACTTAGACTGTTGCGACAAGTAAGAAATCCAGTGGTAGTATCACACTAATCATGCGTTGTTCACCTCCTCGAACTCTTGTTTTGCATGCATTTGTGAAAAAAGCAAAATGATGACCACATTTCCCTCCCCAGTTTACTAGAGTTTGGTTATGAAATTCCACTCCTGTCCTTTCTTAATGGAGTGAAAGAGGTCTGCTTTGTTTCTTTTGTTGAAAAACAAAGACAAGACAGTATTCTGAGAATTCTGTTTCCAGGCTTCACTGTTACATTCCCCAAGTACTGAAGAAAAGTGGGTACCTCTTCTGCAGTCTTGTATTTTAGAGGAACCAAAATCTATACACAGCAGCCTATTTAAAAACTTCTCTTGGCCTCCTGTAAGTCCCATGTGCTTTTCTCAGCTTATGTTCAGGGCAATGCTCTGTGCTGATTGGCCGAGGACTGTGTTACTGGACCAATCACTATGGTTACGAGGATGTAAAACTTCAAATAGTCCCACCTTTCCCTGAGGCTGGGGTTACGTGAGTCTCATGGGCTCGGTACCTCAGCAGAATTCAAGCCAAAAAGAAAGGTGAACAGGTGTGGGATACATAACCAAACAGTGGTCGCGGTAGTGCCCTCTCTTGGTTGGAGTGCTGGTGGGGATTTATTTCTTTTCTCCGAGTCTTCCCTGACAGTAGGAATGAAGGAGAGAGACAGGATGAGATAAGTAGAGTCCAAGTGTTCTGTGATCTTACTCCTGGACTCAACTGTGTTTTTGACTCCACTCATTCTTATTTTTTCCCCTTGATTTGTGAAAATAAATAATTCATACATGAGTCTGAATGTAAATAACGGGTAGACTTATATACATGTTACGATGTATTAGTTACTCTGAATATGGAAAACAATTTCATGTCTGTGCAAAATGTCCTGGAGTAGTTTTGAGTATTAGTACCAAAAGTTACACCTCTAAGAATAAATTAATAGTTATACAAATAAACTAATGAATGTTTTATATATAGAAGGAAGTCTGTGAACCACATCTGGGCACAGTTTCTTTCAATCTGTAGGCAGTTTGTGGGATAAACTGATTTTTCAGCTTTGGTCATTAGGCTTCCATATATATAGTTTCAAATTTTACGTAATGTGCTCAGGGAACCCTGTTGAAAATCAGCACGCTATGTGTACAGGACTGATTAGTGTATATAGGCAGCTAGAGTTTAGGTGAACCGAGGAAAGGTAGTGTGTGTGTAATGTACTCCTTTTAAGAAAGAAAAGGAAGGGAAAACCCTGTTCAGGGCTGCATTTTGAGGGTCATTTCCAGCGGTGGTTATGATTTGGGGGCGATCCCTTACACCGTCTGCTCCTTTCTCCTCCAATCAGTCTGCTTTCCTAGGATGGAAAACATGGATTAGGCTGCCCTCTGTGCCTGTGAAAGGAAACAGCTAACTTGACTTGTTCTCATCAGATTTCACTAACAGCTCATGAGGCATTGAAAAAAAAAGGTTTTTCTGTACTAAGGAAATATTACTGCAGTCTGAAGCTTTTATTCTTGGAAAACACCCTCTTGGGGTGATTGGCCTTTCTTCTTCAACTTGCAGAATTCTCCACGCCTCAGTTTCCTGACAAGGGGAGTTGGCACTGCTTACCCCCCATCTTAGAAGCTGGCTATTAAGCAGCAGAGCTTCGGCAGAAATCACGGTTTGAAGCGTAAATCAATTTAATGCCACATAAGCTCTAAATTTCAACTATATTACAGTTTTCTGCGTAAGATGAAATATATAGAATAAAGGGTCTATGGGGTTGAAAAAGTGATTGTCATCAAGGAGGTTGTAAAGTCTCGCATGATGCAGTCTAGGAAAGGACTTTATCAGAATGGAGACCTCTGTGCTCAAGCTAAAATGGTATCTTTGACTTCTTGGGTTAGAGAGCAATTGTTGCCCCTGGGGATTCCTCTAGCAATGGTGGTCCCGGGCTGGTCCCTGAGGAAGTGGGATATTTGAGCCAAGATCTGGATGTCCAGATCCTCCCGCTATGTGAAGGGTGAAGGGATTTCTAGACAGAGGCATCAGTGCGGGCAAAGGGCCAGTGGCTGGAAGGAAGGAGGTGGGTGTGTGCCGGGGTTGAATGAGCACCAGCGTGGTGGAAGCGTGGTGGATGAGGAGAGAGAGGGAAGGGAGATGGGGTGTGAGAGACGGCCTAGGGCAGGACCAGCTCAGGCCATGAAGGCTGTGGAAGCACATGGGATTTTAATCTGGAAGCAATGGGAAGTCAGTAGGGAGTTCCCAGGAGAGAGCAATACCACATATTCCTGTGGCCTTAGACACTAGCCGCAGTAAACCATTCCAATCACTAAGCCGGAGGTGATCGGCAGGCTGGACTAGGTGCCACATGCCCTTGATTAGTAGTGGATGCTGAGAACCGGGGCTGGGCAGGGTTCGGCGGCTAACTAGGATTCCATAGGTAAGATGGATGTGACCTGTTAGTGTGGCCACAGCGTGTACACTGTCCCTGCGTGAAACGTCCTGATGCAAGCTGAGCAAAAGGAAAAGTAGAACATAAAATTTTAATTCAAGCTATAGTTTCAAAACCAGCTATTTCTTTTGAGTATGTGGAAACTGTAAAATCTCTAAGAAGAAATGGAAAGCTTGCCTACAGTCGTCCAGAGGAAAACCTGCCCAAGTGCCGATGTCCTTCGGGAAGGAGGTGCTGGGGGGAGCTGATGCGGGCGTCCTACTGAACGAGCTTCCCTTTTGTAGGAGCTGGTGGTGCTGTGCCATCTCCACCACCCCAGCCTGGTGTCTCTGCTGGCCGCCGGGATTCGCCCTCGCATGCTGGTGATGGAGCTGGCCTCCAAGGGTTCCCTGGATCGCCTGCTTCAGCACGACAAGGCCAGTCTCACCAGAACCCTGCAGCACAGGATCGCGCTGCATGTGGCTGATGGTTTGAGGTAATTCATAGGGTCCTGTGGTTTGGTGCCAAGTGTGTGCTGAGCGTGCACCCGAGCTTACTCCCAAGGCTTCGAGAACAGCACCTCCGCATGACACTGTGTCCCAGGAACGTTTCACACACAGTTTGGGTGAGAAACAACCATTTCCCTAATGAGGGTTTGTTATTTCCTAAACAACAGTACGAAGACCACACAGAACCTCATCGCTGGCAGCAGGACAGTGGCACCTAGGAGCCCTGCTCCAGAGCTCAGCATCTGGACCCTGTATTGACTCCCACCCCTAAAACAATATAGGGTAGGCTTTATAGTATCAAGGGAAATGCCAGTGGCCATAATTCTAATGATCTTAATTCTAATAAGGGAAGATCAGTCCGTATTTCTGAAGGGGACTGGCGTGACCTGCATCAGGCTGCCCTGCAGGACTGCAGTGCCTCAGAGGCAACCCAGCCCTGTGGCCGGATGGCACGGGGACAGAGCCGGGGAGGGAGCACCGTAGCAGGACGGCTGTGGACATTGCTCCATGCACGTAGTGCCTGTCATTTTATATCTCTGATCCTCCTTTTCTGTAGTCTGTAAACCGTGACTAACACTCAACACACAGCATTGGGTGGATTTGTGTGAAAGGAAGACACCCCACATTCAGGTCCTGGCTCCCCGGCCCCGCCACCCCCATCTCCGCTTACCGGACGTTGCAGCTCGGAGCCGTCCTCATCCCCTCCTTTCTCTCAACCACACCTAGTCCTTCAGCAAATACTTGCAGCACTGCCATAAAAAAAATCTCCTAATGCAGCGACCTCACGACACCCCTCCCTCCCCCCAGAGTCTAGGCCGCTGACGCTGCCCATGGCCTACCTGGCCCCTGTTTCCACCTTTGCCCCAGGAACCTGCCCCCACCCAGGGGCCAGGGTGATTTCTCTAACATGGAGGCGGGACGAAGGCTTCCCCCTGCTGCCCACCTGCCGCTGCCTCACTGCCCACCGCTGTGCCCAGGCGCTTGCCTCCGAGGTTTCTTGAAACAGCCAGAGGCTCCGTGCCAGCCCCCCTCCCCGGGTAACCCCTGGGCCCAGCTCGTGTCATTCAGGCCTCCCTGGAGAGGACGCCTCTGACCGCCCTTTGCCTCTCAAGCTCCTGATGCACTTGGCACGACCTCCTGTTCTCTGTGTTTTCATGTGCCAAGTTTGTTTGCTGTCTGCCACCAGGCTCTGAGGGCCACGCAAACAGGGGCTCCCGGGTTGTTGCCTTGCACCCCAGCACCTAGAGCAGCGGGCGCGGCAGGCGGTGGGACAGGGGGGCAGAGGGGCGCTGTCTGGCACGGAGGGGCCCTGCAGTGGGGGCAAATTACCTTCTCTTCCTTTCTTTCTGAAATGTTGTGTCTGTTCCTTTTGGGCGGTATCCAGAAACGTAATGGAATAGACAGTAAGGAAAACAAGCGACCACTGCTCACAAAACCAAACCAGGAGGACGTAACTATTGATAATGTATGGAGTGTATAAGAAGAGGGTAAAATAAGAGGATTTCCTTTCTTGAAAGAGGCCAGAAACGAGTGGAAAACACACAGATTATTAAATGGCACAGGAACACGTGGCGATTCGGATTTGGACGGATACGCTGCTTTTGAACACCAGGGGGAACCTTGCGTTAAATTAATCTAGACAGAGAGCCACGAACCAGTCTTGTTTCAAAGCTGCGTCAGTCACTTTCTTTAATTTAACCAACTGCAGGTCCAAGTTTTCCCTCATTCTTCCACAAAATCCCCGAAGGGCTCATTTATAAAACAAAGAATTGCTATTTTTATTCACAGTGTTTGAATGACCTCATTTCTAAATTAACTTACCCTGGTTAGCCTATCTGAAAAGCTCAGCATTAGTTTGTCTTCCCAAACCATTTTTTTCAGCACAAACCTGTAATTACAGAGTAGAAAGAGACAATAAAATCACACTCCTCTGGAGTCCCTTCAGTGACGGAGCTGTTCGGCGTGACAGACAAGGAATTTCTTCACGTTACACATTCTCCCTTCTCACCTTCAGCGATCAGCTTACATCTCTGTTCTGTCTGCTCCTTTAAGATTTTATCATAATTCTCAACTACCTGTGAAGATACAGCCACCCGTATTTCCCATAAATGTCCATGTTTCATTATTTCCAAAATTGCCTTTTCCTTTTCTGCTTACTTCCACCCCAGATCTGTTCTTTCTCTTGTATCTCTTCCTTGCCATCAAGGAAGGACCCTTGCAGTCACATCCCAACCAAGCCCCTTCCCCAAAATACTAAGTATCCATTTGTCCACTAGTTCCTTGGCTATGTTATATTATCTTTATATCAATTCATTTACTATTATGCTAGGACTGCTGTTTTGGTCCAGTACCTCCAGGGTATGACCAGAATATTTCTTCTAAAATAAAAATCTAATTATGCTTGAAATTCCCTGCTGGTTCCAAGCTATGTAGGAAGTCCATTCAAACTCTTGCGTGGCACCAGAACTCTCTGCATGCCGCCTGCCTGCCTCCCCAGCCTCTCTCCACTCCACTGCCCTCCCTGCCCTTTCTAACCAGGCTGAAGGTCCTGGCTTTTCACTGACAGCCGTGTTTATCTTTGCATTTGTCTCTCCCCACAAATCTGTCTGCCTGGAGACCTCATTTTCCTCTAGAATTTGCTCACATACTGTCTCCACAGAGCAGCTTGATTGCCCCAGAAGACGTGGCCTCTCTGACCCATTTCTTGAGAGCTCCACGCAGCACTTTGTATTAGGCGCTGGGGGGAGACATAGAGGTTATGTTGCTTTTATCAAGGTTGAAAGCTCACAGTCTGGTGAAGTCGGCTTCGCCATCTCCGCCTTTGTGCTCGTCTCCCTCTGGCTTCCCAAGCGTCTGCTCCTCCCCGCGTTTCTGCAGCCCTGTTTGAGCACCTGCGCCCCCTTCTAGACCGGGACCCCTCAAGAGCAGAGTTACAAAGATGGCTGTATGCATCCGCTGGGGACTGGCCCCTGTAGATGCCCAACGCATATCTGTTAAATGAATGAATGCATCCTATATTTGGAATAACTCTATGTAGGATGAGATATAGTTTATTTTAAATTATAAAACAGGGGTTTCTTAGCAACACTGCTGACGATCATGATTAAAGAATGACTGACTTTAGACCAGCTTATTTTAATAAAATATTTGACAATGCTCATTGTCATATAAAGCACAGAGTAGGGCTGAATTATTCTCAGTAAGGCAACCTCTGCCCCGGCTAACATTTCAAAAAGCTATTTTAGTATTAAAAGCTATTCAAATGGCACTTTTTAGGATTAAATTCTATAATTGAACATTTTAACTAACCCAGATAATCTTTTCCTCCCACTGACATTATTTCAAATTAAGTTTAAGTATTTTCTTTTTAATCTTTCAGAAGTATTCGGAGAGAGTCCGTGTTCTATAAATATCCTGAAAGACGCCTGCATTAGGAAGGATTTGGTTGCTATTCAGTTATGCATGATTCGTCTTTCACTTTTTTTCTCCTTAATCTCCCAGCTTTTCTCGTGAATAGGGCAGGAGTGGCTAATGGCTTTTCAGTAAGCCCTTAGTAAATTTTTCTTTCGAGCCCATTACTTATTGTTAAGGTCAACCTCATCAGGACGTTCATCTTATTTTTCAGCCAAAAAATATGTAGAATGAAGTGAAGAGGCCTAATGGCAAATGTCCTAATGACATCCTGGAAGAAAAAGTATCTTGTAGTGCACCAGTTGATGCAATTCACTGATACACACACTTCCTAGGCCATGATGTGCCGGAAGGTTCAGGATATAGCTGCCACTCTGTCTAATCCCTCCAGCAGTAATTGGTACTAGATCATGGGGTAAATATTTATTGATATAAAGTGAACCCAAACTCAGAGCTGCCAACAAACAAAGGATTTACCTTTACCTCTGCTAAGTTCTCAGAAAAAATAGTTTCTTTCAAGGTAGGTGACAGTACACCTGTGAGATCATGGGGAGAGCTGTAGCAGATCTGACGTCATGGAGCAGGGAAGATAGTTGGAAAAACCTGGATTTGTGGATGTGTGAGGAGAGGTAGTGAGAGAGTCACTTTAGTAGTGTGAGCACAGTAGGTGCTCTCTGTAGTGAGAGAGTCACTTTAGTAGTGTGAGCACAGTAGGTGCTCTCTGTAGTAAGAGAGTCACTTTGGTAGTGTGAGCACAGTAGGTGCTCTCCGTCCATGGTTCCAGAATGGACAGGACCTGGTTGAGATTGACACTTTATTAATATTATTATTTGTAGTAACTAGTGTTTATTCTTTACCTGTAGTGTCCAGCCTAGTTGCTTTTGGTTGTATGAATCATCTCTAAAAGGAAAGACTTTAACATCACTTAGTATCACCTTTCCCAAGATGATGTTTTACTCATTCTGAATCAGTCCAAAATGTTATTCATTAACTTAATCTGTAATAGAATTGGGTCTAAAGTAAATTACATCTTCAAGTGGTATGATATTGATAGCTAGATAAGTCTTTTATTTTGATTTGTTATTATTGAAAATGTAGAAAATGCTTTCCAAAAAATTAGGAAACACTGTAGTCAGAAAAACATAAATATCAAAACAGAAATGGATAGAGAATTTTTTAAAGCTAAGAGAAACTTCTCTATGGTTTTAAGATCAAAACCATTAAAATGGGTGCTAAAACACAATGCTATCAATTCTTATTCAACATATTTAAATTTTAAACTAATTGAAATACTCATATGGTCATTGAGGGAGTTCAGAATTCCTTGTAAGCAAGTAAAAGGAATTGAATATACGGAAGAAAATGTCCCCAAAATCGGTACTTTGGTTGTGTCTTAAGATTTAGTCACTTGCTTCTCAGGACTGACCTGTTTTTTGTTTATTTTTAAAGTGCAAGCTTGCTTCATAGTATTGGACCAACATGTTTTGATTTCCTTGTACAATGTCTGTTAACTTTGAGAGTCAAACTTAGCATGGAATTTTTGCTGCTTTGTATAGTGGACATACACATTTAAGTAAATCATGAAAAAAATTATAATAATGTGACTGCATTTTAATAAGATTGCACGTTTCCCGTCAGATACCTCCACTCAGCCATGATCATATACCGCGACTTAAAGCCCCACAACGTGCTGCTTTTCACCCTGTATCCGAATGCCGCCATCATCGCAAAGATTGCTGACTATGGGATTGCCCAGTACTGCTGTAGAATGGGGATAAAAACGTCGGAGGGCACGCCAGGTAGGTGATGAGGCTTCCTGGTAATTCCCTTTTCGGGATGGATAAGCGGGGACTTCAGCTGTCAGTTCTGAAGAATCAGGGGAACACTATAGGCTATCACATTGTGAACAGGTACTTATTGTGTGAATAACTGTGACCAGTACACTGTGATTTTGATCATTGTATTCTGTAGGGCCAAAAAAAATCAACCAATATAATTTTCCAGTGGGGGTGGGGGGGGGGAAGCAAAAATAGAGAATGTTTGACATTAGGTTGGATTTTTAAAAGTTGGATTTTAAAAACATTTAAACACTCCAGAGGTGGTAAAAAGAAATAGTAAGAGGTGTAACGGCAGTACTGTTAACAACTAAAAATAAGGCAAACCAAATTCAGGTTCACAAACCCTTTTTCGTAACTGTATAACTAAGAGAACTTCAACAACCAAAGATTTTTTTTTAAATAATAACTTTGGTGGCAAAGTCTAATCCAAGCTGACTTGATGCTTATTACAGTCTTGCTTCTCATATTTGGTGTGAAATACATGTTTCATGTTAGAAATATAAACATGTTTGAGTATAGGGTGCTGGCCTGATCCTACGGAGGGTTGGCATAATTATGTTAAATGCATCATTAGTAACTTTCTTGAATGAGAAAACATAATTCTTAAATACTTCCAGCTCCAAGAGTTTTCAGATAGGTTTGGAGCCCGTTGCCCTAGGTTGCATTGTTGTGAATAGACGCATGCTTTCTTCTTCTTACAGGCTGGTCCAGGAGTTTCAACCTTTAAACACTGCACTATAGTTTCCCCCTCGTAATTCACAAGCTGTTCATACTTCAATACTTAAAAATAATGTGACTTCTATTTTTCATTTTTTGAGGACCCTCCATACTGCTTTCCACAATGGTTGAACTAATTTACATTCCCACCAGCAGTGTAGGAGGGTCCCCCTTTCTCCACAGCCTTGCCAACATTTGTTGTTGTTTGTCTTTTGGATGTTGGTGATCCTAACTGGTGTGAGGTGATATCTCACAATAGAATATTATTCAGCCATAAGAAGAAAACAAATCCTACCATTTGCAACAACATGGATGGGGCTAGAGGGTATCATGCTCAGTGAAATAAGCCAGGCAGAGGAAGACAAGTATCAAATGATTTCACTCATCTGTGGAGCATAAGAACAAAGAAAAACTGAAGGAACAAAATAGCAGCAGACCCACAGGACCCAAGATTGGACTAACAGTTACCAAGGGGAAAGGGACTGGGGAGGGTAGGTGGGAAGGGAGGGAGAAGGGGGAAAAGGGGACATTACAATTAGCACACATAGTGTAGTGGGGGGGACATGGGAAAGGCAGTATATACAGAGAAGACAAGTAATGATTCTATAGCATCTTACTACGCTGATGCACAGTGACTGTAATGGGGTATGTGGGGGGGACTTGATAATGGGGGGAGTCTGGTAACCATAATGTTCAAGTAATTGTACATTAGTGATATCAAAATAAAAAAATTAAAAAAAAATAATAATAATGTGACTTCTCTATGTGTCTGCAGTTGGCAAGATGAGTCACGATTACTGTGCCAAGTGGAACTTACCCATTCTGGGTACCATGGCAGCTCTGGTCTCGGGAAGTCACAGGCACTGTGTTCTTGCTTAGTGTTGCTTTTTAGGGTCATGCCCAACCCTCTGCTCTAACAATCTCATCACTTCCAGCAGTAACTGGCTTTCTACCAGTGAAAATCCGTTTCCTGCCGTCTACCCTGTGGGACCCTCCCACCCTTTCTCAGCCCCCATTCCCCTTCCTTGAGTCTCAGGTTCTGATCAGTAAGAAACAGTCACATGGCAAGTGATCTGTACAGACCTCGTGTCTTTCAGATTTCAGTTTGTGTGGGAATAGACAGTTGAGGGGTTGACATCTGTTTGGGGTGAGAAACTATTTTTAGAGAAGTCTTATACAGTTAGTCTTACACCTGTAAATAAAGTTACAGGTGGCTTTACTCACTGTGATGGTTGCAGCTCAGTTAAAACACATGCCTAACACAGAAGAGCACACTCTAGGGGTGTCTGACTAGGCCAAAGAACCTCGTTTGTTCCCTAACTCTCCCGGGCCCCCCAGTTTATGTATGTAGGTAAGCAGATGGCCCCAGCTTCCAATGCATGTTTTATTTTTCTCCTAAGTACACGTCGTCTCTTTTGCTTTACATCGCTATGTGCTGGAAGTTGAGCATGCATTCTCATAAGCATTTCAAAGAATATATTCTGGCTGCCAGTGTCTCTGGGTTGCCCAGTAATAATAAAATAAGTATCATCTCTTGTGCACCTGCTGCGTGCCAGGCTTAGTGCCAGTACCTTTTACACAAATATCCTCATGCTGGGGTTGAGAGTTGGCTTTTACCTTCTCATCTGTGTACTGAGGAGGCCGAAGCTCCGTGAGGTTATGTAACTTCCGCGAATTCATGCAGCAAGAAGCCAAGATAAGAATTCAATCTAAGTGAGAATTGAATGTAGAGCTAGTCAACTTTAAAGCCTATAGTCTGTCTTCTAGATGGCATGCTACTCTAACATGTACATAAAAGAGGTTTAAGTATTCAATCTTAGTTATTCAAAGAGTGAAATAAAGCAAAATGACAGGGCCATGAACAGCAATTTTTCAAGTAGAGGTTTGGAAGAATAATCTTAGAGCATGGAATTCCACAGACTCAGATACTCCCACCTAGAAAATGTGGGCCCAGGGCAAGGGTCTCCGTTTGGAAGATCTGCTCATTACTCTCGTGTGACCCAAAGGTGGGCTGGGCCCCTCAGCTGGGGCCTGCAGTTCATCCCCCTTCAGCCCCCAGCCTCGTCACCCTGTTCATGGGGCAGATACCCTGCTGATGAAGGGTTTCTGCTTGGACAGCTCCCTGTTGACTGTGCCCGGGACTCCAGCCTGCCCCCTCCCTCGCAGGCCGGCCCAGCGGGCAGCCAGCCCAGTGCAACGCTGTTCAAATTCTAGATCCTTCATTTTAAGTATTTGACTTCCTGGTTTGGATCAAAACCTGTCTCAGTTTCAATATGCAGCTGAGTCTTCCTGCTTCATGCCAAGCCGCTTCTGATCCCTGTTGATCTGCTGTATCAATGTGCGGTGACAGAAATATGGAGAAAGGTCGTGACAGCAAAGCCAGAGCCCCGTCCTTTGCGTTCTGCCCGCACATCCCCAGGCGGCTTGACACATTGCAGACATTTTGCCTCTCAGTGTCCTGGACCTTCTCTTTATCATTACTGTGTTTATTATCGTCAGAGCACTTCAGTCATGCCAGCACCCGGCTCTGTCTCACATTTGAAGTGGCAGTAACTGTCCCCACTGTTCGCACCATACCTTTTTCTTCCCCAAAGCAATTATGTTTGAGAAGAAAATCATTTCCTCTCTCGTTGATTTCACATTTATCTCCTTGTCTTTTCCCTTTAATGGATCTTTCTGTTACGTTATAACTTTTAACTTGGAAACATCTGGACAGATAAAAGACCTTGCATTTGTCAAACCTTTGGGTATTTTTATGTGAACCCTTCCTGCAGAGCATTCACCCCGTGTGTGAATGTGAGTGGGGGGCTCATTACTGTTGTCTCAGGGAAGACGGTGATGGTCGCAAAGCTTTCTGTGGCACGAGCTGTGCACCTGCCTTGCGTTCAGACCTTTGTGTGGGTTGATTATCTCACTTAATCCTTGTGACCCTCTGACATATCCTACTGTTATTCCTAATGTAGAGCCAAGTAAGCTAAAGCTTAGGGACCACCATCAATATCTAGAGGGTCACACAAGACGCAAACCTGAGCCACCTAAGAGCAGAGCCCTGGCCAGGTACCAACCACAAATGCAAAGATAGAAATAATTCAGTTATTAGCAAAGACCACAGCACAGTGTCTGTCTATATTTTAAAAGGTAAATATGGGATGGATAATTTCAATTTTAAATAACTTGGAGAGCTTCAACTCTAACTCAGTCCAATGGATATATTTATTTATATCCTGTTGGGGGTGGCAGTTCATTCTGGGTCCTGTGACTGAGTCAGATGGATGCTGACTTATGGCTTCGACTCTGCGAACATCCATAGAAATACAACCATCTTTGGGGAAATAAAAATGTTAGTTTCTGGGTATATACCATCATCTGATAGAGACTGTGAAACACAGTCTACTCACACTTCTCTAAAAGTAAAAAAGAAAGAAAAAACACATGTTTTTGTGCACTGTGACATATAATAAGGCCTAATTCACAAATGTCTCATATTTTTAATCTATGGATATTTTCTTTATTATTGAATTTGTTAAAAAGCTGGCTTATCTAAAGATTATTTCTAAAAATAGTTTTAGATGATTCATATTTTCTGAGTTATTTTTATATTGTAATTATTATGATAATTCTCCACGGGGAAATTATCCTTAATTTTTAGTTCATTTATTCATACATTTGGCAATAATTTATTGAACGTTTGTCAGATACCAAACTGGTACCACTACTTAGTAGCTGTGTGGTATTCCTCAAGGTTCACTCTCTGGGACTCGGTTTTCCTTTCTATAAATTGTGATAAGAAAAGTCCTGCCCACCTTGTAGGGTTGTTTAAGGGGAAAGGAAATAATGCATATAAATATCTTGGCTTGGTGTGTTGCAGTTGCTCTGGGATGAATTTGGAGAATGTGCACAGTAAATGTTTTTAACCTTCCAGATGTACACATTCTGCAAGGAAAGTATATCTATAAACAAATAATCATAAAGCATGGTGTCAGTTTCAATTAGAGATCTAGCTCCTGGTGCAGTGGTGGCAGAGGAGCATGTGGTTAGCTGAGCTGTAAGTCATCAGGACTTCTTTCATAGATTCTGGAATCACATCTTAAAGGATAAGCTGGGGGTTTGAGGATAATAAAAAATAAAAACGGGAGCAGACATTCCAGGCAAAAGGTACTGAGATGTAAAATGATTTGTCGTACTCAGATTACTGCAAAATACTCGGTACGATCTAAGTGCCAGATGGAGAGTGCAGGGTTATTTAGTTAGGTGTTTTCAGTTCTGGCTGTGTGTTAGTTAACATGTAGAACTTAGAAAAAAAACGTGTCCACTGGGCTTGTATCCTTTACAAATTCTGTCTTGGTAGGTGGGGAGCACGGGCCGACAACTCGGCCATATGTCAGGAGCTCCACAAGGGTTTCCCAGTACTTGGGCCTCAGGACCCCAGTCCCAGGGATTCTGATTTAGCTAGTCGGGGGTGGAGCCCAAACACTGACATTTTTTAAATGGGTTACAGGTGATTCCATGTGCATCCTGGTCTAGAATGAGCTTCAAGAACATTCTCAGGGTTTTAAGCATCATGAATGATTCTGATACACAGCTCAACGTTACGCTTTTCCAGCTCATGAAGAGCTTCTGAAGTCATGCCAGTTTAATCTCTAAATTATGGAACATCACTGAAAAATAGTCTTAATTGTTAGCAAAAGTTTTCCATCTCTGCATCATATAGATAGTGCCGTTGCCTCTATAAATCAGTTATATGATGGACAGATCAAATTTTGGTGCTGTCTCACAGTGGGGGAAGTATTATTTATAGAACAACTTTGAACAAGATGATTAGCATTTACCTTAAATTTTAAGAGCATAAACCAGTGATAAGAACAATCAGTTCTGAGAGGGAGTGAATATGAATGGAGTTTAGGCTTATATTCAAACTCTAAAAAGTGATGTCAATTACTTTAAATTACTCTTTTACTCTTTTTCAGTGGTACTTCTAGTAGGCAACACAGTAGATTCTGGAGAAACAGAGACAGGCATGAGTTAGTGAACTGTCAGCTGTCTGGAATCTATTAAGTATGGGCTGCAAAGTCAGATTGTCTAGGTTTGAACCCTTGCTTGACCACTTACCAGCTGAGGCTGGAGAAATGCCCTCACTTCTTTCCTTGGTTAAACAATATTTTTCAAGTATTTATTTATTTGCTTATTTTTTATTTGAGGCCAAGCAACCTTTTATATGTAGGGCATATAGTTTTCCTGTTCATGTGCTGTAAATTTTTGTGTTTTTACTCATCTATCTACTTTTCTGATTCATTTGTAAGGCTGATTCTAGTTAATGTTGACCCTTTGCCTTTCATATACTGCAAATGTTTTCCAAGTTCGAGCTTGTCTTTGAACCACATTTATAGCGTTTTGCTGTTGCAGTTTGAATCGTTTAGGTAAACGAATTTTCTCTTCTTTTACTTTTTGGAATCCAATTTTCCTGATATTTAGTCAGTGATATGAAGGGCAGGGATGTAGGAGTACTCTGCCCTAGCGCAGGCAGTTGCTCGTTATTTTTTAAATTTTCTAAACACAATAAATCTCTCCCAGCACTTAGCCTCTCAGCACCTAGCACCCCACCTTTGGTACAGAGAGTGATTCACAAGCCTCTTGCATCCCAATACCATCAACTTAGTTATGAACATTCCCCTAACACTTTCATAGCTTTATACATCACATTCAAACTTTCGGTTCATTGGAAGTATGTTAGTTGTAAGGAGCAATGCAACCACTCCTGACTTTCTTTAACAAACAGCTTACCCTCTTATCATCTGTTAAAAACCTGTCTTGTCCCCTGTGCTTTGAATGCCTCCTTGATCAGCTCTTTCCTGAACGTTTGGATCTGAGTTCTCCATTCAGCTTCAGTGTTGTGTCGTTCTGTTTGGGTAACAGTATAGAATATTTTAATTATGTCATTTTATAGGACAATCTGTAGTGTTGCTTATTCAGCATTTTTGAAATTCATTTTCAAGTGGATATTATATCTTTTTCAGAGAAACAGATCATACTATTTTATACATTTTTTTTGTATTTAAAAGCATGGATGGTAAATAATATGTCTCATGTTACTGTCCATGCTTTTACTCGATTAAATATCATTTTATTGCTCCTTAGGACAACAAATTTGATCCAGGCCAGTCATCTGATGGATTGCGGTCATATCATCATTCAGTGTTTTTCGTATTTGAGGGAGATTTTTCCTAAAGGCATCTTTTTAGCTCTAGAGATAAGTTTAGGAGAAGTTGTTAATGCAATCAAGAAATTAGAAAATCATTAGAAATTCATTGGATGAATGTCAAAAAGCATTTAGGAGTGTAATATATTATAATTGAGATACCTCTTGAATATGTAAATAAGGATTATGTTTTCCTGATGAGGACCATGTATGCAAAGATATTTATTTTCAAAGGGAGATAATAAAAAAGCTAAAACCATTTCCATACTGAAGTAAACATTCCTTTCCATAACCTCACAGTTATCTTTCTTAGTTCCCTGACTCATTGTGGGGAAAAAATTCTAACCTGTGCAGCTCTAAGATCTGTGAAGTGATGCCTAGAGGGATAAAAACCATTGTAAAAGATGTGCACTGGGTGAGGACTCAGACTAAGTGACCCCTCAGATCTCTTGTTGCTTCAAAATTCTGCAATTCCAAATCCTAATGTTTCTTATGCTAAATGAACCAAGGAAAAATGATAATACTGAATATTTTCATAGTCTTTGAATAGTACCTTGATATAATAGGTACCTAATAAATGTGTTGAATGAGTAATAAATAATTGGATAAGATTTAAATTAGCCTCCAAAATCTCATACATTTTAGGATGTTTAGCATAAATATTGTTGGTGAACTAGCTTATATGTGACCAGCTTATTCTTTTTAAGTAGTCTTGCATTTACTATTCATTTTATGTGTGCCCTTAGAAAAACATAACATTTTTGAAAAGATTGTTATTTGTAAAATGGGAAGTCCTCATCTGCCTGCCACAGGTGGTTCTTGTGCATAGCAAATGAAATATTCTATAAGGTGCACATTCCGAAGGTGTCTGTAAAACGCTGTATTGATTTGAATTAGGAGCTATTGTGATATGTGTACCTTATATAACAGGTATAATTTATTAGGGATCTAGTTTAGAACTATCATAATTACACAATTCTTTAGCTTAGGGTGAGAGAATGGTACGGTGCTGTAGGAAAATGTCCTTGGCTAAGAAAATGCATAAGTTGTACCTGCAACTTCATATGTCAAATATATCTGTCACACAAACAGAGATACAAATGTGGGGAAAATGGTGACTTTGTGTGTGTGTGTGTAGAAAGAGAGCATGAACAAATGTGGCAAAATGTTCACTGCTGGATGTTAAGGATTAGTTAGCTGTCACTCTCAAACTGGCTGTCTGCTTTTGGACCCTCTGCTGCCATCCCACCTGGTGCAGGCCTGCTGAGTTGCATCTTGCTGGTAAACTCTCTGTCAAATAGAATTCTTTCCAAATTCATTCATTTACTCCTTAAGGGCTATGAAGTCATACTTTGTTATATATCTGGGCTGTATATTTAAGCTGTATTTACAATCATATGCTCCTTATAGAAAATTTGAAATTATTAAAAAGTAAGGAAAAGCTACCCCTCATTTCTGCATGGGGAAATAACCATCACATTTGGATGTATTTCTTTGCGTTCTTTAATTACTCATGTTTCCATCACCTTTTTTTGAAAATGTTTAAGCTTACAGGAAAGTTGAAAGAATAATACAATATACACCCATATACCCTTCACATAGATTCATTATTAATTTGCCACGCTGTTCTCTCTTGCATTCTTTATGTCTGAAAATGTCTTTGAAATTAAGTTGCAGACATTTTACCATGTCATCCCTAAACATACTGGCATGTTTAGAAGAAGGATATGTGTTGACATATTCACAGTACTACTATCAGAGTTAAAAAATTAATTCAGTTGATTGTTCTCACATATATGGTAACTTCTCGTCTATTCAGAATTACATCCTACATTTTGTTTGCATTTACATTACAGCAGGTCATACTTGTTTTTGTTGTATTTTATTTTTTATTTAGTTGATTAATTTTTTCTTGAAGAATAGTGACATACAGTATTATATTAGTTTCAGGTATACAACAGTGACTCAACAATTACATACATTACAAAATTCCTACCATAGTTTGTTTTTATTTTTCCATTGTGTAGTAGGAGTAGAAATAATGAGGGCATTGGAATTTTAGTTAGGTTAAAGTGACTTGGGGTGAAGTATAGAAATGTCCTCTCTCCTGACCCCAGCTCTGTTTGAAACACTGCTCTGGAAATAGTTATTATATAGCTTTTCTTTTTTCTTTTTTCTTTTTTTGCCTAGTAGGCTTCATTTCTTTAATTAGGAAACATTACTTAATAATTTATTACTAAATATTAGCCTTATTATTCATCAAGATTGATCTTGGGGTGACATATTGGGACAGGTCTGTTAATTGACTGGGTCAAGGGGGTGACATAGCATGTGTAGAACTTACCTCTCTCTGTCAGTTTATATGCCTTGGATGTATAAGCCCTGCTGTTGGGTATGTTTATTAATACATTTGCTTACTTTAAGGGTTTCGTGCACCTGAAGTTGCCAGAGGAAATGTTATTTATAACCAACAGGCTGATGTTTATTCATTCGGTTTACTACTGTATGACATTTTGACAACTGGAAGTAGAATAGCAGAGGGTTTGAAATTTCCAAATGAGTTTGATGAATTGGCAATACAAGGAAAATTGCCTGGTAAGTTTTACCTTATCTACAATAAAGATTATTATTTTTTGGTATCAGTAGCTTCTTTTCCAAGTTATTTAATTATAGTTTTGTATACTTAATTCATTTCACAACCAGTAGTTTTTTGTTGAGTGCATGAATATTCTTAAAGCCTATGGCACATTAATAAAAATCACATGAGAAAGGTAGCAGCGTTAGGTTTTTCTTAATATCACAAATTAATATTGGTGTATCTGGTATTATATTTAAAAGAATACTCAGAAAAGAGACTTGCTATTAGAACTGCAGGCTTAGCTGGCTCCTGGCCTCATAATACTATGTGCCCATGCGCCTACAGTGATTCCATTTTCTTGGAGTGAAATAATTTCTATGCAGGAATGGAAGCTTGAATTATGTATAATAATAATTTTTAGTAATGAATATTAATAAGAATTGGTAAATTAGTATTTTAATGAGGTCAGTCTGATTTCAAATGGCTCTCATGCTTTTAAGAAATCCTGAGACTTTGTCATTCAATCCTTGACTATTCTGTTTCCACTACAAAGTACTATAAAATACAGCTGACTTCTTAAACAAAATATGGGTTTGAACTTTGCACATACACTTATATGCATATTTTTATCTATAAATATATTGGAAAAATTTTTGGAGATTTGGAAAACATTTTTTTCCTCTGGCTTTTTTGTTGTAAGGATACAGTGTATACTACATATACAAAATATGTGTCAATCAACTGTTTACGTTATCAGTAAGGCTTCCAGTCAATAGTAGTGGTTAGGTTTGGGGGGAGTTAAAGGTTATATGTCAATTTCAGGCCCCCTAAACCCTCTGTTGCTTAAGGGCCAGCTGTATTTTTATTAGCTGTTTCTTGTATTTTCTGCTTTCCTTCTCATGTAAAAATATTTTTGAGTATATACTATGTTTCAGGTACAGGGAACATAGTTTATCTCCTTTGGGGGATCTTTAAAGATTCCCAGCAAAGGAAATTTATTATTATGTGCATAAACGTGGCCACAGTCTGGATCATCTCCATTATTTTACCAGTTGGCTTTGCAGTGAAAGTGTCCTAATCTCCCTTCTCTACACCAACCAGACGGCACACCTCTTAGGAAAACCCATGTGCCCAGACTTACTGCGGGGCTGTGAGAATTCAGTGCTTGCCTACTTTGAATATTCAAATAAAAAGTACTTCCACAGAAGTCTAATTATTAAGTGAACAAACATGTTTTCAAAGTCTGTTTGAAATGCAAGTATGGAATGAAAATCTACTCTTTTACCCAACTGGTATTTGTGTCTCTTTTTTTTTTTGTACCGTTAAAAAGAAAATCAAGAAATCTTGATTGATGTCTCTAGTAGAAATAAGGCTAACAAGATTAGCTTTAAGTTTGTGATAAGTAGATTGACAATAAATATAGGATTATGGAGATCAACATTTTCCTTTGCAATAGCTGGATCTCTCATAACCATCAAAAGGAAATAAAATAATGGTTTTGATTTGTCTGTTGTTCTAGCATGATATGTTTTTTAATGTTTCAGATCCAGTTAAAGAATATGGTTGTGCCCCATGGCCTACGGTTGAGAAGTTAATTAAAAAGTGTCTGAAAGAGAATCCTCAAGAAAGGCCTACTTCTGCCCAGGTATTCTTATAGTGAGAATTTATCAATATGTTGTGCAGAATGTCAAACACATACATGCATTTATATATATGTGTGTGTGTGTGTGTGTGTATATATATAATGCATATATATATATATACATACACACACAACATTCACGTATAAATACAAACAGTTTAAAACTGTTAGGTAACAAAACCCCTCTATCCCCCGCCTCCCATGGCACAAAATAAAGTGCATTGCCAACAGCCCAGGACCCTCCATTTATTTGCCTCTTCCAGTTGCATCACTGTCCCTCCCCTGTAGACGTAACCACTTTCCTGACTTTTGACAAAATCCTTGCTTTACTTGTCTTTATGATTCTGCTACCCTGTTTTGTTTCCCTGTATTCATGTGATTTAAAATGGACTCGTCATCCCATAGCATCCTGAGCATTTGCAGGTGCTCTCCCGTTATTTCGTCAGCTTCATAGAGGTTGTTGAGCATAGCTGTTGATTTTTTTCTGCTGCTACTCCATTCCGTAGTTTGAATGCACAGCCACACGTTTACCTGTGATCACGTCCATGTTACTGGTGTTGTCTCCAGTGTTTTGCTGTTACCCTGGACCTCCGTAAGCGTGGCTGTACACGCCTCCTGGCACAGATTATATGAGAAGTGCTTGTGGCATAGACCTGCGGTTGAATTGCAGGATCATAGGATATGTGGATTCTCAAATTGTTTTCTGAAGAAGTTGTACCAGCTTAACACTTCCATCACCTCTAGTTTTTTCTCCATGTATTCTCCCTAAATTTTGGTACTATGTGACTCCTTAATTTTTTTCCCAATAATTTCAATATCATGTATTGACTTACATTTTTCCTATTTACTAATAAGAATGAGCATCTTTTTATATGTTCATTTGTCATACATATGTTTCCTCTTCTGGGTAAAGTCTGTTCATTATTTTGCCCATTTTTCTGTTGGTTTGTTCACATACAAATTTTGACCTGGTTACTTCTTATGGTATTGTTGGATCTTTAAAGTTTTTCAGAGATTAAAAAAATAATTTCTTCATCATTTTAAGTTATTTTTAGATGGAAGGTTTGTCCAAAAACCTCGTCCACCATATTACCTGAAATAGACCTCTTACTATGTTTTCAAACATCAAACAGATTTTAATGGATCAAAATGAGAGCTCTCCTTAATGTTGTGGAGTCTTTTTCTTATTGAAGTATAGTTGGTATCCAATATTAGTTTCAAGTTTACAATATAATGATATGCTGTATACTCTTGATTTTGTATCAAAATTCATTAAAAACTTCTGTTCAACTTGGAATTTCCTACTCAAAAATAGCTGAGTACATATACAATGACTTTATGAAACATTATATAATTGTCTTGATTATTTGCCCTACCTTTCTCCCCCCAGCTTTAATGAGACATAATTGACATCCAATATTGTATTGAGTGTTAGTTCCGGGTGTGCAGAGTACTGAACTGATAGACGTATTCACTGTGAAATGATCACTATTTAGTTGCTATCTATCACCTCCCCAAGTTAATAAAGTTTTTTTCTTGTGATGAACACTTTCCATCTTAACTCTTTTAGCAACTTTCAAATGTACAATATAGTATTGTTACCTTTAGTCACCATACTGTGCGTTGCATTCCCAGAATGTGTTTGTCTGATAAGTGGAAGTTTGTGCCTTTTGGCCACCTGCACACATTTCGCCCCCTCCTCTGGCACCAGTCTGTTCTTTGTATCTTTGAGCTCAGTTTTTTGGGGTTTTTTTTAGATTTCACATAAAGATCACACAGTATTTGTCTTTCTCTGTCTGGCTCATTTCACTTAGCATAATGCCGTCAAGATCCATCCCTGTTGTCGCAAACAGGATTTCCTTCTTTCTTATGGATGAATAATATTCCATGATATATATTGATGTTTATATAGACATATAAATAAATATTAGAAAATGTGGTATGTTTACCATGCATCATAGATGGACACTTAGGTTGTTTCTGTATCTTGGCTGTTGTGAATAATGCTGCAGTGAACATGGGGTGCATATCTTTTTGAGGTGGTGTTTACATTTTCTTTGGATAAATACCCCAAAGGTGGAATTGCTGGATCATATGGTATTTCTATTTTTAATTTTTTGAGGATCCTCCACACTGTTTTCCATAGTGGCTGTATCAGTTTACAGTCCTGCCAGCAGTGCACAGGGTTCTCTTATCTTCACCTCCTCACCAACATTTTTTATTTCTTGTCTTTTTGATAACAGCCATTTTAACAGGTGTTAGGTGGCGTCTTAATAGATTTTGCTTTGCATTGCCTTGATGATCAGTGATCTTGAGCCCCTTTTCCTGTACCTATTGGCCATTTTTGGTTACCACCAGTATTAATTATGCGGACTTTTTGTATTTTTAAAAAGTTTAGCCCAGTGAAATTGTGCATAGCTGAATTATTTTACTTTTCTCTTCTTTCATTTTCAATCATACTGCACCTGGATTTTATAGGCTGCATAACAACCTTGTTTCTTTCCTTTAGAGTTTGACAGTATTCAAATACGTCTTTGACTTTGACATACCTATTTAATATTTAAAATACAGTATACACGGAGCAAGGCAGGGGAACTCCTGCCCTCTGCCAGATGAAGCGCGGCAAGGATGGGAGCTTTCTCAGGGTCCTGTGAGTGGCAGGCACGTGGCTGCGGCATGGCTGCATCATGGCTGTGACCCCAGTTTCCTCGCTTCCGTTTCTGCTGCCCTCCGGTGCTCCACACTTTCCTCTTCTCCCTTTAGTGCTTGAAGGAAAAACATAAAAACAGAATGTAGAGGCGATTTACAAATTTTGTTACTGAAGATCAACATTTCTTTTCCTTTCAACTGGTAGGAGATCAATCCTACTTTTGTCTCAAGTGTGTATCTTGAACGTGTCTGGCTCTGCAGCATCAAACTGAGTCGACACTAGCTCTGACCTCTGCTACCTGTCTGTGCGGTTGGCATTTTTGGGATTTTTTTCTTTTAAGTTACAAAACAAACCATACCTACAGAAAAGCAGGTATCATGCACTTGAAAAATAGGTATTATTTTCATGTAATCTTATCTATGGTTTGGATTATTAATCTTGTTACTCCAGGTGGGTCACAGTTTCTCTAACAGATTCAGTTTTTTCTTGATGGAGCTCTAGCAGATAGTTAGTTCTACATCATGCACAATAATAAGATCTTTCAGGAGGACACGTGTTAACCTGATGTGTGTTGTTTTCTTATTTTTACACATTCTCAGGTCTTTGACATTTTGAATTCTGCTGAGTTAATCTGTCTGATGAGACATATATCAATACCCAAAAACAATATTGTTGAATGCATGGTCGCTACAAACCATAGCAGCAAGAATGCGCGCATCTGGCTGGGCTGCGGGTTCCCTGACAAAGGACAGCTCTCGTTTCTTGACTTAAATACTGAAAAATACACTTCCGAGGTATGTCTGAATGCCCTTTAAATTGCAGATACTGTAGAAAACTTACTTTGTGAATTATTTTAAAGCATGTACCAGTTAAAAAGTTACTTAGGAAGAAATTAAAGCAGTGCTCGTACTGGAGTACTCCTAAGTAAGCTTTCTGTTAGAACAAGAGTATTCACATGAAATTAGTCTGTGTTTTGTTTTAAGATCATGGTATATGTGTGTCTTAGGTTAGGGTCCCTAGAAACAGAGCCTGTTTCAAGACAGAGAATCTTGCGTGAATGATTTAAGGATCGAGAAACTTCTAAGGAACTAAAGGAAGCAAAACAGAGCAGGGGAAGACGCTCAGCAAAAATGTGGTTTTGGAGGAATTCTAGCCTCTGTCTTTGCCAGTAAGAAACTCTGGAGTGTGAGTAGTGCACAGATGTATCCCTCCAGTAAGTGAGGGGGCGTCTGGTCTCCACAGAGCAGGCAGTTCCTGGCTGCAGCCCGCCTGAAGGCCCGGGCGGCGTGACCAGCCCCCTCTGGGCAAGCCAGCTCCCCTCGGCCGAGGGCAGCTCTGTGATGAAAGGTCCAATTCCGAGCTGTTCGTAGCCAACAGGCAGAGGGGCTGGGGGTGGGTGCACCTCACTGATAGGGGAGATGTGGACACAGCTCCTATAAAATAGATCAATAAATAGAATTCATAAGACACATTTTTAGACTTAAGAAGTAACCTAATATTAGGATGGCCACCATAGAAAAGACTAGGAACAACAAATGCTGGCAAAGATGCAGAGAAAGGGGTCCCTCCTACACTGCTGGTGGGAATGTAAACTAGTTCAACCATTGTAGAAAACAGTATGGAGGTTCCTCAAAAAACTCAAAATAGAAATACCTTTTGACCCAGGAATTCCACTCCTAGGAATTTACCTTAAGAATGCAGGATCCCAGTTTGAAAAAGACAGATGCACCCCTATGTTGATGGCAGCACTATTTACAATAGCCAAGAAATGGAAGCAACCTAAGTGTCCATCAGTAGATGAATGGATAAAGATGTGGTACATATACACAATGGAGTATTAATCAGCTATAAGAAGAAAACAAATCCTACCATTTGCAACAACATGGATGGAGCTGGAGGGTATTATGCTCAGTGAAATAAGCCAGGCAGAGAAAGACAAGTATCAAATTATTTCACTCATATGTGGAGCATAAGAACAAAGCAACAACTGAAGGAACAAAATGGTAGCAGACTCACAGAACCCAAGAAAGGACTAACAGTTACCAAAGGGAAAGGGACTGTGGGGGAGAAAAGGGGAATAGGGACATTACGATTAGTACACATAACATAGGGGAGGGGCACGGGGAAGCCGTATAGCACAGAGGAGACAAGGACAGTGACTATAATGGAGTATGTGGTGGGGACTTGGTAATGGGGGGAATCTAGTAATCACAATGTTGCCCTTGTGATTTTATATTAGTACCAAAATAGAAAATAAAAATTAATAAAAATGAGAAGCAACCTAATATTTTAACTGTTGCCTTGAAATAAATGTTGTGCCTAAGCATTATTTTTAAGATAGACCGATCTGCTATTATTTTGATGGCATGAGACATGATAGTGAGAAATAGTTTTCAATTTTTAATTTTAGTTTCAAATGCATTCTAGCTAGGCAAATGCTCCCTGCCAGTTGACTCATTTATTGTCGAAAAGTACATAAAGTCCGCATTGGCTTTAAAATTAAGAGCAACAAAGTAAAAAGGGTTAAGTATGGATAAAAATACTTTCATTCTATTCGAGTTCTGGTCCCTTAAGCTAGAATCACGTCTTAAGCATGTTTTCTTTTTGCGACAGGAAGTTGCTGATAGTAGAATACTGTGCCTAGCTTTGGTGCACCTTCCTGCTGAGACGGAGAGCTGGATCGTGTCTGGGACACAGTCTGGCACCCTCCTGGTCATCAGTACTGAAGATGGGAAGAGGAGACACACCCTTGAGAAGATGAGTGACTCCATCACCTGCTTGTATTACAGTTCCTTTTCCAAGCAAAGGTACAATCATGAATTTAACTCTCGGGGGGGATAGTGAATTTAACAACTGGGGGACATTTCATACCTTTTAGATGACTTAATTGTGTGCAAAGCTATAAATGCATCAGCAAAGATGGCTTATTTTGAACATATTTCTGTTGATTTGCATATGTTAAAAGGAATTATGGGAGGATACAAAGATGCTTGTGCTTTTCCATATAGAGATAAAGCTGTGAGGCAGTTAGGAAACAGGTCAGGCACTTCTGGGGGCCACCAGTGCTGCTTCCTGGCATCACCTCAGCTGTGGCTCTATTGTGTCCCACTCCTCACATCACCTCACCTTTGTAGGGTCTCTTCTCATTCATTCTTTCTTTGAATACATGTGTGTCAACAGCCTGTTATGTGCCAGTCTACAGTGTATCAGCTCACTAACTACCTAATTGGGGGGAAAAAACCCGTAAGGGAATTCATAAGTTGTTAATGGGTAAACATGACTTACCCCTTCTCATGAGCAGGGATCTTATCCTAGAGGAGTTTATTTAAAGGGAGGAATTTCAGGCGTGAGTAGCAGGCTGGTTGCTCTAACCAGGGGCAGGATGATTCTCAGGATCCATGAAGATTATCCCTCATATCCGTTTCTGGCTTCAAACAGTAAATAAGTATCGTAAAAATGTGAAGCTCAGCTTTTTGGCAGCTGAAATATAAACTCCATTGGCAGTTTTGGAGATGGAATTATTTTGGTATTGTCAGAAAATTCCAATTGATGGAGTTAAATAGGCAAAGAAGGCTATTTTCGGTTATTGCAATAGGTAAAAGAGATGGAACTCAACTCTGCTAAATGAAAAGCGTGAGCATCTTCACACAGCGGGGGCAAGCTGGTGGAGAAGTACTGGAGGACCCGCAGGCGAGGAGGCTGTCTGGGGCTCAGCCCTCTGTGCTTGCTTGCTGTCCCCCATTGAAGCCAGACTCCCACCCCCCCACAGACACTGGGAGACGGCGCCCTATCATTCTTTATGGGTCGACTCCTAATGCCTTGAGAAAGATATACCTGGGTTGTAAAACTGGCAAGAGGGTGGAAAAAGATTTAACATCTCAAACAGTCAGAGAAAAAATCTACAGTTGTGTTTTCCAAAATAAATGCTGTAACAAAAGGGTGTTCTGGTCAGGGAGAAACAAGTCTAAAGTTCAATGAAGCTGGGGGAAACATTAAAGACATCTTGGTCAATGTAATGACTCTTTTGTAACTATTTTTGTCATTTTTCCTTTTAGCAAGCAAAGGCATTTTCTTTTGGTGGGCACTGCTGATGGTAACTTAGCAATTTTTCAAGATAAAGCTGTTAAGGTAAATGTTGAATACAGTCTACATTAAAACTTGAAGATCTTTGTTTTATGTGTGTTCATCCTGACCTCCCACTATCCCCCCACCAAGTGGTTATAAACTCCCTGAGAGCAAGGATCATAAATTCTGCTTTTCATCTTTTTGCTGCTTTCATGAGGTTTTGCACATAGTCAATCCTCTATAAATACTTCATAGATAGTCTATTTTATATGAATGAACTAAGGATAAAATGAAAAATCTGATTTATAACATTAGGAATGGAGATAATTCTGTTTTTATGCAAGTGAAGTAGATAATTCCTTATAAATATCTGTGGGAAAAACAAAGGAACCTTATTTTCTTTAACCGGGAAGAAATTATCTAACTTTTCATTCTCTAGACACTCATTTATCTTTAAAGCATTTATTCCTCCCTCCCCCATTCATCTGCTCCATCTGTTCGTCCAACAGTCGTTCATACTCCTTGTCAAAAAGCTGATTATCTACTGAGACAGAAGCACACTGTAAACCCTAGGTTATTTTCCATATAACTTTTGCATAGAAAAGCAAAGAGATTGGTTATAAGGATAGTATTTTGAAGACCGCTTAATTGAATCCTGTTTTTATAAATCTGTTGAGAAAATATATTCTCAATTTTCATTTCAATACCGCTAGTGTTTTGAAAGCACCAATATTGCAGTGTTTCGTCCTGCAGACACTCAATTCACTGAATGTGTTTTCTCTTCCTGGTCAAGTGTAAAGGGGCTGCTCCTCTGAGGATCCTGAATATAGGTGATGTCAGCACTCCACTGATGTGTCTGAGTGAATCCATGCATTCAAACGAAAAAAACATCATGTGGGGAGGATGCGGTACAAAACTTTTCTCATTTACTGATGATTTCACCATTCAGAAACTGATTGAGACCAGGACAAACCAGTTGTAAGTCCTTTGTCTATACTATTAATTTACTAGTTCATTCATGTTTATTCTCTATAATTATGTCAATAATGCTATTGATAATCCCAAAGGAAAATCTTTTAAAATGCTTCATTTATTTTTCTATTACAAAATTTATTTATTATGGAAGATGTAGAAAAATCCCAGAAGGCAGAGGAACATTAAAAAAATCATCCACCTGTCACATTTGGGATAAAATATGGAAACCCCTGGTAACCTAATCATAGTTATCAATCTCAGTTTTCAGCAATGTCATGATCTCTGTTTCCAAATTAAACATAATGGAATATGAAAGACAGTAAACTCAGTGTTTTACTTCATTTGTGGATTTTACATATGTGTTTTAGATAATTTTCATTGAATTGGTTGTGGAAAGTTTAGGCCTCAGGAATAAAGTCTTCTCCAGATTTGATCATTACCCAAATATCCCCTCTACAGCAAAGTTAGTGATACCAATTTCCAGCCAGAATAAAATGAAATATAGACCCAAAATTTGTTGTTTCAGTTTTTAAAAGTGGCACTTTAAGCAGATCGTTGCAGTTGGAATTTATTTATTCCATTCACCAGTGGGAAGCAGTGCATGTAGGGTGGCGGGTTAGAGCGTCAGCCATAGTTCGCCTTTTGGCCCTGCCATGTGTTGGTTGGTCAAGAGCTCCTTAAATCTTTAAAAACCTCTCTAACCTGAGGAGTGTAATGTATTCTATCTCAGAGGGATGTTTTGGAAACTGCACAGGAAAATTAATGTAAGGGGCGAACACAGTGCCCACCCTCAGGAGGCTTGTCATAAATGCTAGCGGTCACCGCCGCTCGCTGTGAGGCACAGGTCCCCATCTTGAGGAAGAACCTAGTATTTCCTTGAGATCTAGTTAGACTGGAGCTTGGGAGTAATCCTAGACTCCCTTGTCCTTTCCTCCCTTTATCTGCTCAACTCTCCCCTTCACTGATCTCAAATCCTTGCACCTCTCACTGCTCCTGTGGCTGCCCTCCCCCCATCTTTCAGGACCGTATCCCCATCTGGGCCAGGCTGTCACCCACCAGCCGTGGCTGTGTTAACAACAGCCTCTTTCTAACCAGTTGTCAGCCTCCAGCTGTGCTTCCTTGGGTCCATTCTCAGCATCACAGAGCGAGACTCTAAAGTGCAAGTCGATCTGAGGTCAGTCTTCTGCTCAACACCCCTCAGAGGCATCTCACGATCCGAAGGTCGAAGTCCTGAAGGCAGCGTGCTAGGCCCTCACGGACAGTCCTCTCTTGATTCACGTCATGCGGCCTCCTTGCCCCTGAGCTGTAGCCAAACTGAAACTGCCTCAGTTCCCCAACGTGATCTGCCTGCTTTCCTAGCCCCCTCCTCCACCTTCATGTGTGGTTTTCCCTTTGCCAGGGTGGCAGCTGTGCCTCTGCCAGTTCAGGGCAAACATCACTCCCTCCGAGTGGCTGTCTCCGGTCCCACCCATGCGAATGAGGCTGCCTGGAATTGTTCCTCCATTGCATCTATTATGTCCTTCACAACTTTACACATTTTTATATTTTCAAAAGTGCTTTCTTAATAATACTAGACCTACTGGTTCTCCACACCGGCTGTGCATTAGAAACGACTAGGTGGCTGGAAATAATCTAATGCCTGGGAACCACTTCAGACCAATTAAATCAGATGAATGAAGCTTAGAATGGGCCCCGGGATCAGTATTGTTCTTTTATTTTCAAGGTATCAGGTGATCCTTGAGCAATTTGCTTAGCATTTATAAACTTTCTTTCTGTAATTACACTGAGATTTATAATATTTTATAAGATTTTAGCTGAGGATCGCATGAGATAACACACAGAAATATTTGAGATATTTGAAAATGCTCTGCCGTATTTGTACTAGTTTGAACTGTCTTTTGTTAAATGTAACAGACCCTCAGGAAGGAATTACCAAAAACACAGCAGCTCCCATCAATTTGTCATCTCCCTTGCCAGAGTAGAAAAGATGGAGAAAAATAAAAAAACCTTCCTACTCTAGGATATGCTAAAGATTGTTATATCCTGTGGTAGTTTCCTGTTATCTACCTGATTGAATTGTGACTTTAGCCATTTTTACTCTTTCCTTGTTGTTCATCTTTCCTGTTCGTTCCTCCCTCCTCCCTCCATCCTTCTGTCCATCCACTTACCAAACTGCCTGCTTTGTTAACCGGGCATTTTCTAGGTAGATACTTACACATCCATGTACTGTATATGTATGTCTATTAGATAGGTACATAGGTACTTAGGATGACTCTTTCCTGGATTGTGTGTATACAGAAAAGGCATAGTCCTTGTCCTTAAGGAATTGCATTTACTGTCTAGCATCTGGGACACACTAATCACTACTAATAATGAGGTCCGTAATATTACAGCAATACCAGTGGGGGAAGGGGAGTGACTGGTCTGTTGCAATAGGTCAGGGATGAATTCCAGAGGAGCTGACATTTAAGTTAAGCCTCAAAGTCCATCTAGGAGTTTGCTGGGCAGATGGGGCCTTTGTTAGCCAATCTGTTTGCCAAAAATGAATAATGGTGACTGTCTTTTTTTTCCCTCTAGGTTCTCTTATGCAGCTTTCAGTGATTCCAACATCATAGCCGTGGTGGTAGACACAGCTCTCTACGTCGCGAAGAAGAATAGCCCATTTGTGGAAGTGCGGGATAAGAAAACTGAAAAGCTCTGCGAACTAATAGACTGTGTGCACTTTTTAAAGTAAATTAAGTGGTTCTTTTTTAAAGTTTTATTGAGGAAAGAACACAACATGAGATGTACCCTCTTCACACATTTTTAAGCGTACAACCTGCTGTTGACTGTTGGTACAATATCATGGGGTCTTTATGCGGCTAAGAGGAGGAAGTATGGCTTATTTTCCTTCATTTCTACCTCTAAATAGAAAATTTAGAACAACCAAAACCCAGAAGCAGAACTGTCAGTGGTTTGTGGTACCATCTCTTGGTATCCAGCAAATTTCATTTTGGAGAAATAAAAAAATAGGAGCATGATATATATGGTTTCTTCAAGGCACTACAAAGAATATCCTCTAATGAAAAAATAGGACATTGAACGTGCCCATACTGGATTCATTGCTGGCTCTGTCTGTAGTAGTGCCACAAAATAGAATTTTACTAGTTATAATTATCCTGTGGGTCAATGGATACTCTGCTGTGAAGATAAAAAGTCACAGAAGAGTATGAAAACATGGGGGGGAAATGTGACCAGGGCCCTAAGGAGGGGGGATCAGGACAGCAGACTAAGAGCCCTTCTCTTAGTTTTTGATAGTGTGTCAGAGGCGAATCTCAGATGTCACATCAAACACATTCTCTGCTGTTGCTGGGAAACAGGGCCACAGCCAACCTTCCTTGCTGGCTACTTTGTAATTTTGTTCTATCTTGTTTTTACTGTATAGGGTTTTTATGCTCTGGAGAACATTTAGGTTATACACTGTATCCATAAAATGAGCCTCTGAGGTTTACTTTCCCAGAATCTTTTAGTTTTTCTGTGGATGTTGAGGAGATTTATGTTCAGAAGTACTGACTGTTCTGCCTGGTAAAGGCTTTCGTACTTACTCAAGTCCTAAAATTATTAGGATTCTTTTATTTCTGGACATCTCATTTTTATGATGAATTATTCACTGGCTCAGGGAAATTCAATGGTTTGTACTGATACCTTTAACATGTAAAAATGACTATAATTTAATTTTCCTTTGTAACTTTTAGATGTCATGGAGAGCTTTTGAAATTAACTTTTTTTTAATTGGTCAAATTTTTTTTAACTCAGTTACATAGGCTTGCTATTTATTAAAAAAATTGTATCCATCTTATTTATTTCATATTTTCTTGAAGTCAAGGGCCTATTGTGTTATTTTTGACAATTTTGGCGTGGGATAGAGAAGATACTTTGACACTGTACCTAGCAAAATTTGTTTTGTACAACTGTAATGATATATAATTACACTATAACATATTCATATGATAAAAGGTTATTTGTAAATTCATTTTGTACAATGTTAATGATATATAAAGTATGCTTCCATGTATTTATTCATAATACATGATAAAGGGTTATATGAAATATATATGTATGTATACACACACATTTTTTTCTCTCTTGAATTGTTGATAAAATTATTAATGGATCCTTTCTTTATGGTTTTAGGGAGGAAAGAGTAAAAGGAAACAAAGAATCAAAACACAAAATGTCTTATTCTGGGAGAGTGAAAACTCTCTGCCTCCAGAAGAACACCGCTCTCTGGATAGGAACTGGAGGAGGCCATATCTTACTGCTGGATCTTTCAACTCGTCGGATTATTCGTATAATTCACAATTTATGCGATTCTGTTAGAGTCATGATGACAGCACAGTTAGGCAAGTTTCTTTCCTCTACATCTTTTTTCTTATTCTCTAAAGACTACAAAACTGCTGTTATTTTTTTATGTTTTCACTTTATAGTGTCATTCAAAAGGTCTCAGAAGCCCACATGAGACATAAGATGGGGATAAATGTTTAATAGGGTCATTAAAGAAATGGAGGGATAGATGCTGTCATTCTTACAAGACAAAAAGATTCCTGCAGCTGAGCACCAAATTTGGGTCCTACTTTCTCTTTTTTCTTTATTCCTATGGGAAAAATGGGAAATAGGTAATGTTGAGTATTTTTAAATTTTTGACCAAAAAAATTGAGGCCAGTGTTTATTTTTATCATTCAAACCCTTGCTAAAGCATCCTATTTGGTTTTTCATTCTATAAACAAATTTATATTCTTTTAACAATATATGCTGAACTTTATGATCTACAAATATTGATAAATCATGTTTTACTCAAGCTTTTATATCTTTTCTTGCTCATATGTATCTATTTAAATATGAAGAAATGATAGCACATGAAATATATTTATAATTAGACATTTGATTGTCTTTTGACTAATTATTTGGTTTAGAGAATAGTATTAACAAAATACAAAGTTGATCACAAAATAACACTATGGGATTAAGTTCTGCAAAATGAGTTTAGGTACCTTTCGCAAATAAGTAATAAAAATTTGACAGGGTGAAGAAAATAGTGAATTAGAAAATAGTGAATTCCTTTTATAGGAATATATCAAGGAGGGACAAGTGTTTCTCTGATCCTCACCCATTTCCTGTGAATAGATGTCAGAGTGGCAGACAGGGTTAGATGAGATGCTCCTAGCGAGTGGTGACTATCGGGTACACATCCATGCAAGCAGAGTATACGGTCTGTCGTCGGCTGTCACTCTAGTTTTGTTCTACCGAGGTTGTTACATCCTCTACTTTTTTTGTACTTTAAGACCCAAATGTTTGTTCATTGCTCACATTATATGGGATTCAGTGGGTTTACTCGATTTTTAATATAAAGGTAAATTTGATCATGATCTACAAGGTGTGGCTTTGCCCCACCTCTCTAGCGTCCATCACTTACCAGCTCTTCCAGCTCTTCCGGTCCGGTAGACGGTCAGTGATTTTTAAATACCAGGCTTCATTCTGCCTCAGTGTTTTTCATGTGCTGTTTCATTCGTTGCTTAGTCAATCTAATTTAATTATCTTAGTCTGCCTTCTTGGCCGAGTTACTTTTTTTGAAATAGTAGCTCTTCCGTCAAAACCTCAGAGAAGTTGAATACAGATGAGGTCAAAGTTCGCTCTTGGTGATGTCACCACCTCGCTCTTGCATAGCACGGATCTTGGCCATCATTGTTTCATTAATGTCATCACCTCCGAGAACATAAACTCCATGTAGGTTGTATCTACATGGGCTCGCTCGTCCCTTTATTCCCAGAGCCTCTCTTGATGAATATCTATTGAAAAGATTAGTGAATGACTTGAGAATTAAGTATGGTTTTGTGGGAGTATCAGTATATCCATCCATAGGCTTCATATTTGAATAGTGCCTTTCAGTATCCAAAACACTTTTCACCCATTTTCTCATGTAATGTTATAACTTTGGGCAGAGGGGTAATGTGCATAGAGTAAACCCACTTTCCAAAAAGTTTAAGCTGTTTTTTCTCTGAGTCACAGAACTTGTAGAAATTATAGCAGGGAGTAGATCACAAATTTTCTAACTTTAAAAATGTGCTGATCTTGGAGAATTCTTTATTCAACATAACTGAAGCATCACTTAAAAAGTAGAATTATAAATTAAGTTTCAAGGTTTTCATGTCTTCAAATATAGAAACTGTGCTTTTTTTTAGTCCACCTTATTATATTGTTTTTAACAGAAAACTCTTATTTTTTTTTTTGTAAAGGTAGCCTTAAAAATGTCATGCTGGTTTTGGGGTATAACCGGAAAAGTACTGAAGGTCCACAACACCAAAAAGGTAAAGTTAAAAGGATACTGTATTCTAATCATAGTGCAATGACATGGATGATCATAGCATGTTACATGTTTTACAGATTTATAATAAATATTACGTGTGCTGTAGTACTTTAATCATTTTTAATTTGTAGCTTCTTTATAGTGCAAAAAATTTAGACACAAATTTTCAAAATTGTTTCAGTGATTTGGCGGGTTAAGTATTTATTTTTCCAAAAGCTGTGGAGGAAAGGAAGCCTTGTGCACTGCTGGTGGGGATGTAAATGGTGCAGCCGCTGTGGGATGGAGTATGGAGGTGCCCCAAAAAATTAAAAATAGAAATTCCACATGACCCAGTAATTCCATTTCTGGGTATTTACCCAAAGAAAACAAAACACTAATTCAAAAGGATATATGCACCCCTATGTTTATTGCAGTATTATTTACAATAGCCAAGATACAGGAGCAGCCTAAGTGCCCATCAGTAGGTGAATGGACAAAGAAGATGTGATTATATAATGTGTATATCACATACATAATGAAATAGTACTCAGCCCTAAGAAAGAATGAAATCATGCCATTCACAACAACATTGATGGATCTAGAAGGCATTATGCTAAGTGCGATAAGTCAGAGAAAGACAATGAATTCACTTACATGTGGAATATAAAAAAATAAAACAAATGAACAAGCACACGGAAAAAGATCCATAAATATGGAGCATAACTGTGGTGGCCAGAAGGAGGGGGCATGGGGTAGGTGAAAGGGGGGTACAAACATCCTCAGAAAAGCATTTCTTTAGGTGAAGTAGAAGTATATAGACCACTGTAAAAGGAGGGTGAGCCCAAATTTAGACTGATTCCATCTGTTTTTCATTTTTATGTTCTTATGGAGTCTGACTTTGAACAATATTTTAAAAGCTTTATTTCTTTTAGAGAATAAACTATTAGGTTATTAAGGGTCCACCGTCTTTTTGAAATGTAGTAGTTTCTATAATGCATTTTAAACATTTTCCAAATGTGATTTCTTATAAAGGGCAATAATTTAGTACCTAATTTGTAGCCATATTTATATATACATTTGTCCAAGGCAACTAAATATAAATGAACAAAACTGGAATAAAAATGCCTTATGGCAGATCTTTGAAACATTTTATTTTTCTTTTTTCTAGAGATAGAGTTTTGCTTGTCTGTTTGGGACCTCAATCTTCCACATGAAGTGCAAAATTTAGAAAAACATATTGAAGTAAGGAAAGAATTAGCTGAAAAAATGAGAGGAATATCTGCTGAATAGGAGGGATATTGGAAACCTGTGCTCTTGGGGAAATTATTGTCCTTATCTTGTAAATATTTCCTTTAAAAATGTGTAATATAGAAAGGATATTCCCACCTTTTGAACTAGCTCATGTGAATATGAAGGAATGTTTATATGTTTTATTTTAAATATAAATATGTGTAAAAATAGTTACCAAAAAGTATGTTTTAAAGAACTCTTTAAAATATGACATATCCAATATATCCTAATTAATTTTGTGTATTAAGTAATGAAAGGATATCTAAGAAAGTGCATCAAGGCAGTTTCTCATTGTAAAATTTACTCATTGTAAAATTTATGAATACATAACTTTTTGCTTTGTTACCCATAATGAAGGTAAAACTTTCTTTTAAATTCCGTTCTTAAGACAGGACTGTGGCTTGATTACTTTCTAGATATTCTGCAAAGTAGACTAAAAGTACTAGGATAGTTTCCCATATAATACATTCCTTCTTAGACTGCTTTTAAATGCAGTTATCATATATGCTTGTAAGCTGTAGGTGAATTTGGACTAATAAAGCCCCTCCCTGGGACCTGAGTCTTCTCAGTTGCCGATACAAACCATCCGTCTCCACAGCTTCACTCAGTCTAAAAGAAACACCATGAAAAGTGCAGATGACGACATATGTATTGTCCAAGTCCTCATATCCAGGAAAGACACAGTCACTCTCTCTTTCCCTGTTTGGCAGCTCTTTCTTTGAATGTGGATACCCTGAAATTTGTATAATTGGTACAGATACAATGTTCAGTCCTTCAAGTGATATTCTCGTGTTTCAATCTGTTTTCAGTGGTAAGCCCGACCACTGGTCACTTCTTCCTGCTCTGATTCGCTCTAGTGCTTTGACTCATCTTCCTACATTTGTGACTCTGCAAATCCCCTATCACTCGGGAAGAAACCCTACTTCCAGAATTATAGAATTCCACAACTCCCACCAAGACCATAGGGAGAGGTACGTTCACACTCAGGTCTGCTGAAGAAAAAAGGAGCTTTAGGCTCTGCTGGGTAAACGATACCTGCTAACGCAGTCTTCCTAATTATGCCTAAATTGTTTAAATATCGTCCTGTGGTAGGAGTATCAATGTCAAGTAACCTAGGTAGCAATTTGAGTGTTATTTCTGCTTTAAGGGAACTCCTTTGGCCCTGGCCAATACTCATCATTTCGAACAATTCCCTGTGATGAATAACTAATCCATTTACTATTCTCAGGACTGACTGGTGTTTTACTATATGGACATTCAACATTTCTTTATATTAAGGGACAAATCAAATTTCTGACCCTGAAAGAGTCTCCACATTTCAAAAGGACCTAATCTTTAATTTGTCATATAGTTTAACAAAAAGCAGAAATGAGGTGGCTATTTGTTTCTCATTGTTACTTTGTATTTATATGCACTTTTTTACAGATAATTATGGAGAAATATGTAAATGAACATTGTATCCAAATAAAGAATAAACATTTTTAAAGCATGTTTATTAATTTTTAAACTTTGTGATGTTTTATTTTTTACATAGAGGCCTGTAATCCATCTAATAAGAAATTTTGAGTTAATCTGTGTATGATACATAGAGGAAGTACTAAGTTTTCTCTTGAACTTTAAAAAGTTAAAGATAAACATACAAATGTTCAGATATTGAAGTGACATCAAGCCCGAAACCCTTGGGACTTTGTGTGTTTTTGCCCATCACTAGGTAGTCGCACAATGAACGTGGAAAACTGAATGCTTTCCATGGAAACTCATCAGCAATATGGTAAACTCTTAGTCCATACCGACTCAGGAAAAACTGAAATCTCCATTCTCCATTCCGGCCAGATTCCCAGCCTGCATGCCATTGTTTCTAATAACAATTCAGAATCTGACTGCTTGAAAGTACAGAGGTGCTTGGATCTTCCCAATTCCTCAAGGCATTTGGAGGGTTCCCAGTTAGCCCCTTGGCTGTCAAGCAGACACAGGAAGGCAGGGACCCGACGGCCTGTGGTCTGAGCACATCGTGAGTGGTGAGCAGAGGCATGTTCTCCCTCTGTGCTCACCTCCTCTAGGCCCACCTGGGAAATCTGTGCTTGGGGCAGTGTGAGCCTAAGACAGAAAGCGGGAGAGGACAGAAGTAGCAGCACCTGGGTCACGGGGCTACCGCTCCGCTTCTGTGAGAAACCACTGTCCCGTGGCCATGGGACCTAGGAGACGAGACTTCATGGAGTGCCTTTTATGTGTCACTCTGACCTGGACTTCACCTCATTTACTGATCTGAACACCACCAGGAGGAGGTTGTTACTATTCCCACTTATTTATGAAAATACAAACCAGTGGGATAAACACTGTGTTAGCAGTATTAGGGGAAAGCAGAGCATGCGTCTGCCTGACCAGAGAGCAGAATCTGGGAGCATCACACACACAAAGAGCCAGTACATGGGCACAGCCATATGGGGTGGACAGCCACCCAGTCCCAGGCTGGGCAAAGAGTTCTAGGCAGAGGACTCAGGCAAGCACTCTGTTAGGAGAAAAAGCTTATTTTGAAAGCATCCTATCAAATTCTGGAATTTGTGACAACTTCTAACTCCTAGAGAATTTACATCTAGTGTATGCAGAAGACCCTTAAATGACTGAATGTGCAAAAGAAATATACATTTATGGATTGATATAGTATTTTACTATGAAATGAAAGATAACATTAATGCATTTTGGGAGGGGCAAGTTAGAATAAATCTAGTAGACATGTCAAACACCAGATTTATCTTATAGGTTAGAATATCATGAAAGGAATCTGGCATTATGTATATACAGAGTATGTGATACATATTTATCTCATCACAATACAAAATAAGCCCAAAGTAACTAACCGAAAGTTTTGCCATCATGATAAAACTCAAAGAAGGTATATAGTGGAGAGGTAATTTACTGTCATGGAAATCCAGGGGACAAATGTTTTGCAAGCCGATTTATGTTTGCATTGTTTTGATTTCCTGTCTGCAGTGCAGATGATTTGTATGTCAGAGTATCAGACAACCTCAGACAGAAGCTGCTTGCAGGCAGGAGTGTTCTTTGACCACAGACTGCTTGGATGGATTTCTGCTGCCAATTAACAAATATATACATCTGTGTCACAAAATTGAATCAGAATATCTTTGCTATAGACAAATCAATAGTACTGCTATTTAGAAAAAGAATTAAGTGTATTAATATGTTTTGGGATGTGCATTTCTTTCATGAGAGTCTGCAATTCAGGATAAAGTATGCTCCAAAACAAAGCTAAAAAGAACTTGTACTTTAAGAAATATGCTTCTGAAGGCCCTGCATTTATTTCATCAATGTTGTTATTACTACCCAATTCTTAAAAATTGTCTTCAGAGTTACTGTAAAAAGCAGAGTGAATAAAAAGAAAAATTTACACAGGTAAGTGTTCAGGAAGACCTCTTCTACAATATGGGATTTTGCTATTTATCTGTTTCATATATACTATGTCTGAGCTACCTTCCTGACTGGCACAATGCCAGTGGCACATAATTACATATGGGAAATTAAATTTGGCATTCTAAACCAATGAATTTCTGCAAAGTCCCTTCTTTTTGCACTGGGAAATCATGAAATACATGAGATAATTTCAGTTTTATGTGTCTAGTGTGCTTGAGTAATGCTGGGAGTTTCTTTTTAACAGGAGGGATTTTATTTCAAAGATAAAGTTTTTAGCCATGTATATCAGAATGTCTTCATTTGTAGGTATTTATTTCAAAAGTAAATGCAAGTGGTAAAAATATGTAGTAGTACCCTAAGTGAACTATTCTGTTAAGCTTTTAAGCCAACTCAATCACATTTTCCTTAAATGCTGTCAAGTATTTTATACACTTTGGTGTTACATAATGATAATTAGTGTGTGTCAGTTACAGAGAAATAGCTTGTCCAGCATCCGTTGACCACTGACATTTTACTGTTGACATCCTCCTTTCGGATGATTGACTTTACATGAAAGAAAATCATTTTCCAGGTGTTGACATAGTTTCTAAATATAATGATGTAAATTGGCCTATAAACTAAATTGTTCCTTCAAATAATTTTTACATTTTCAAGGTGATGTAAATAGGAAGAAAGATGATGTAATCTGAAACACTAAGGGAGATTTTCATAGCAAATTGCACTCTATAGAACAAGGGAAGAAATATTCAAGCTAAGACTAATTACTAGTGGAAAGCCTGTCTGTCAAAAACCTGTGGAAAATCCTCCCTTGTAAGTATACACAGACAGAGAAAGTAATGTCTTTTTCATTTTATGTGTCATAATGAAAGAAACTGTAGAAGTTACGAGCATGGGCTCTGGGCCTCCGGGCCTGCCCCCAGCCCCCAGTTACGTGAGCCATGTTGCTCAGACTTTGTGAATGTCCTCGTCTGTAAAAAGGCTTAAAAATACTATCATCCATAGTTGTTGTGAAGAACAACAGATCTTCCTTATGCCCAAACCTATATAAACTTTCAGCTGCTTATTATTCGTTGAAAGGAAGGTTTTAAGTTTTGAAGTTTGCAGCTGGTAGACGGAGCCAATATTCAGCTGATAGCTCATTCTGCCAAGTTATTTGAGTGACAGACAAAGGTCTGTGGATTATATGTCACCGGTACCCGGGACTTAGAAAGCTAGTAACCTGACATCCCATCAAACTGATACTTTAAATATTTGCTTAGCATTTATTTAGCAGGAGCTAGGAGAAACAGACTTTGTGTTAATAAAAATAGTATGAGAACAAATTGGCTTTGGTTTCATTTCCAAGAATATGGTAGTAATTTGGAAAAGTCCATCTGCTGAAAGCTAGAAAGTTTAGCTGGGAAGAAAAGAAAGGTCTGATAAGATGGTGTGGGATTATCAGACGAACATCAAAGTGAGGGTGAGGACATGAAGAGGTGAGCGGGACTCCAAAGCTGTCCTTTCTCCTGTTAGCCTTTGCTTGTCCCAGTGGACTTGAGCTGCCATTTCCTCAGCCTCGGAAGGACTGGAAGACGGAGGACAAGCCCCAACACCCCCAAGGTTGGGAGACAGATAGATAGGTGCTCCCATTAGGCTGGGACACCAAAGAGATACATCTTGGTGCAACTGAGGAGCAGAAATAGAACTGCCCTGTCTTGGGGACAGCAAGGTCCTGAGAAGACCCACGACCCGTCCCTCTAGGAGTTGCAATCCGAATTCACATCATCTACATTATTATTTTTTTTAAATCGCTAAGCTACTAATTAAATGAAAAATGTTTTACAGTTCTTGAATTAGCTACAAGAGGGCAAAGGTATTTGGGTTGGGATAAATATGTGTGTATTGTCATTTCTAGAATAAGCACTAAAAAAGTAAGTACAGTGCATAATTTCCAAACCGGCTGAGGAGAAAAAAAGCTATTATTTTTCAATCCAATGGAAGGCAAGAAATGAGTGAAATAAAAACACAAAACAAGGGCAGATAAAAAATATAGGTATAAAATCAAATATATTAAATACTTACATTAAATGTAAATGAACTAAATGGTCCAATTAAGACAGGAGTTTCAAACTTAGTAAAAAAATAAAGATCCGCCTGTAAAGTGAGCTATGAGATTCAGCTACATTTTAAGAACACATAAATGTTGAAAAAATAATAGACACATGCAAAAACACAAATAGTAACCAAACGAAGCCAAGGCAGCTATATTAACATCGGACAACTAGACTTACGGCAAAAAACATTACCAGAAATAAAGAGGATCACTTCATAATGGCAGCAAAATTTAATTCACCAGGAAGCTATGACTTTTAAATTTATATGCACAAGATGCATTTGAATTTATGTAATCACATATTCTCAAATATATGAAGAATAAGTTTTCAAAACTATAAGGAATATTGGGGATAACAGAGTGAGAGATTTTAGCATACTTCTCTAGGTAATTGACAGAGCAACCTGACAGAAGAACTAATAGTGAGAACACAGGTTTCAATAGAATGACGGACAACTTTGAAATGATGGTCATAAAATAATATTGCAACCAATATTTTTACCATGTGTGTTTTTTTCAGTGACACAAGGGACATTTACACTGACCATAAACCAATTAATTTAATCATTTAATCTTGAAGGGCTGAAGTCATACATGTTTATGCTCTCACCAGAATGCAATTAAGATAATCAGTTGCCAAAAGGTCTCACGACCTGGATTATTCTTATAAACATAACATTGGGTGAGAGAAACGAAATAAAAAGAATAGAGACAGAATGCTTCCATAACATTGAAAAGAACTGATAGGTGGTAAAACTATAAAGAAAGTGAAGAAATGATCATTACAAATGTCAAGATAGTGATTATAGAAATAGTGATTATTTCTATAAAAATAGGGAAGGGATTATGACAGAAGCAGGCAGGTGGGGGATTCTGGGACGCTGGAAAACATTCTCTGAGTTGATGGTTTGATGGGTTATCATTATATAATAATGATTCCTTAAGTTGTGCATTTGTTTTATATATTTACTCATGCATATGTCAAC